GGCAGTTCAGAGGGGAGTAATGGGAATAATTCCTGGTCCAAAAGGAACGTCATACACAAGTAAAAGGAGCTGGAAATCTTCAGTCCTGGAACGTTATGTATGAGACTGAGGAAACTTAGTAGTCGTATGCATAGTAGTTGTATGTACTTGTGTAATAACCCCCTTAAAAATAATTCTCAGACACATATAATCGTTTATAGCTCACAAACTCAAATCTTACTCTTGAGCAGCACAGCTGTGCAGTGTAAGAACACTCTCAGCCTGTGCTGTAATCAGCGCTGTTCTTTGTAGCGCAGGGATTTTAGTTTTTCTTCTGAATTTGCTCAGGCCATGGCCAGCAGACGCGAACCTGATGTGAAGTGAAGAAGCAGGGTAGAAAGGTTACGCTAGAAACAAAAATGGATGTAATAAGTAGATATGAAATCTGGAGGTGAAATGTCAGTTTCCATTGTGAATACCACTGCGAAACACCAAACAAATACTGGACCTGCCCGCCTGAAATCAACTGTTATCACTAACCCAAGAGGAAACGGAGAAACCTTTAATTTTCTGGATAGCAGATCAAACAGGCACATGCCTTAATTGATGAAAAGCAATGCTATTAAATATTACATTAATTCTACGATAAGTCATATTTCTCTTGTCAGTTTTCTAATGTACAATAATAATTACCATATATACATGAAATTTTGCATACAAACGTGTTGCGTTGTTGTCCACAATGCTTAGCTGCGTCATAGATGTTAGGGCCATTACGTACAAAAGCATTTCCTCTCGACAGTAGAACGTTCTGGGGGAAACAATCTGCCTGTAATTCTACGCACAGTATCAAGCCCTATAAAATGCAACAATTGCTTACTTTTTATGCAATTTTTTAATCTTATAGATATTGTAATTTTCTGTACAGTATAAACTGTTTGAAGTGCCTAGGTCTACCCTGGGTGTTAGCCTTAATATGTATTGAAACTTACACAGAATTTGGGTTACGTAGCAGGTTCAGGAATACAACCGCTACATAAGGTAGTGATTGTATTTCACAGCCAGAATGGTGTTGAGAAATTCTATCTATTGGAAAACTTCATACTCAAGAATGCAATAAAGGAGAAATTGCAAGGGAGTGCAGAATTGTAAGGCATTTCTTATCACAGGGTCATGGCTGTCTGAAGCCAACTGGCTGCTGCTGAGGCCGAATCCCAGGGATCCTTCAGGAAATGGTTGTGGTCCTTGGATCAGAAGGCTGAAAATTAGCTGCCGCAAGTGGATTTTGAACTGACAAAGCTGCTGAAACTGTCATCTTGTATTGACTGGTGGTGCTGGGGTTTGGGTTTGAATGAGTGACTGCAGTGCAAGCCAAGCAGAGACATGAGCGTAAGTTGGCTTCCATAGCACAGTGGTTTTCTATGCAGTTTAATTAGAAGGAGAGAGTGTGATGGTTTATCTGCCCCCAGCTTCCTATTTGAAGGGTGAAATAAACTTTTTTTTTATTTTCCCCATTTATTTCGAAATGTAAAGTTACTCTACTTTTTCCTGTATCCGTATAAGCGGCCAGGAGTGCCACCACCTTGTCGTCACCGAACTGACCCGCATAGCCCTTTTGACCCAGTAGCTGGCCTGTGAAGGAAGCTGCGGTGGTGTACCCCGGTGGAACTCTCTTGCGAAGTCCGTCCTGCTGCATTGCAAGTGCCTCTGTTACTGGGGCGGCCATGTGGTGCCCCCAGTCAGAGGAGTGTCGAGTACACCAGGACCCCTTGCTCTTTAGCAATTTAGGGTGGCCTTGAGCTGCCCCAGGGCTGCTTTTTCTCACGTGTGGAGGCACCCACAATGAAAAGGAAGCCCTGTGCCGGCCTAAATTTAAGTCGCCCCTTTGACCCTTCCCAGGGTCAGCAATTGCTGCACCAGGATCAGCCTAATTTATACGCGAGTGCATGGCTGGTCCTGGGCGGCCTTTTCGTATCCGATTACTGCTGGAATGTGTAGGTGCCAGCCTGCGCCCGAACTCAAAGGCGCTGTAACACCCGGAAAGTACACAGCGCTTCAATTGACAAGTTCAGTGTCTTTAAAAAAATAAAGGAACAGTCTTCCTGTCTTCCACGTCTTGAGCCATAAGTTTATTTTTAAGGATTGTGGAAATACTCAGCAGTTTTGTCATTTAAAATAGTTTGTGTAGTTCTATCACACACTACAAAATCACTTATTGAAAATCACTTGGTGGTCGGAAACTGCTTATGTTTCAAATGACTAAGAATCTTTCCTCTTGTGAAGGGCTGGGCGTTTTTCCTGTGAAGTTATCAGTAGGTGTTTTCCACCGACTGCTTCGGCATGTTGTGGAAACCAAAGTTGTCCAAAACCATCTGCAAACTGCATGGATAGGTTGTCCTGAACAATTTTAAGAAGTTTTTTCGTTTGGCAGTAGAAGCTGTGCAACTCCTTCATGTTTTCCCTGTGAGATTCTTGCTTAAGGCCAGCTTCCAGTTTTTCTCAAATGGTGCTGTATTCCAACTCTATCAGTTCAAATCAGGGCAGGCCACCTGGCCCGTTCAGCAGTCTTGAGCTTATTGATCCGAGCATCTTGTCCAGCTGTTTCATGAAGGAAGACAAAGTATTAGCCTCAACCAGGGCTGGGTAACTTGTTCCATATGAAGTACATTTTCCATTCTCCACACAACCTTTCTTCTCAGAGAGTTGGGGAAGTATGGATCATTCGTTAGGGTTTATCGCACACTTGGAATGGTAACTTCTAGAAAATGAATGTACATTATTGCCGTGGTGTAACAGTATTGTCTCGAAGCGGTAAGCGGGGCTTTCAACCCTCAAGTGAGTTATACATATTGCTAGATGGTAAACCTCTATAAAGTGACATAGAACCTCAGCATATGCAGACCGATTCAGTTTTGTTCCAATTGGCATAAGACAGCTAGCTGTTCCTGAATGTAAATTTCGAGTGAGGTTCATGAGCACTGCAGACTTTAAAGGAAAAATGTGTAAACTGCATTTAGCTTTGAACCGTGTAAAAGCAAGTAAATAAGTAAATTAGGTTTTAAAGCAGTAATGGATTATTTCTTGTCGGTATTATGAGAATTGTGTATTTTTCTGTACAGGTGCTTCCTGTCCTGTATTTTCACATGCACAAACCCTGGTTTCATTTTCAGAAAAAGTGTGCCATATTTTAAACCCTGCTTTTCAGTCACATATGAACACTAGGCTACCTTAATTCTCAAGTGGGAATGGTTAAAAAAAGCTGACCTACATTTGAAACAGCCGATATCTGACCTAACAAGTCTGAAAGGGGTCCTAGTTCACTTTACAGAACCCAGGGAAAGCTCTGGGCTGCTGAGTCAGTCAGCTCATCAGTGTATGGACTTGACTTTTTCTATTTACTTGTCAAGTGAAACTTCAACCCATGAGACTACTTGAAATGATTAGTGAGGTGAAGTAGTGATCTGGTGGAGTTTTTCTGAGTTTAGTCAGTGGGTGGAGAAAAGAAAGGTGAAGTGCCGTCACGTCTGAAGTAAGTATAATAGTTGTGTTTAGGTAAATGAAACAGCCGATCATGAGTCTGTTATGCAGTGCTAAACTTAAAAAAAAAATGGAGCAGTGTTGGAGGGCATGCGATGTTTCATAGTTTTCTTACAGGAAACCAAAGTTTCCTTTTTTTTAAAGGGTTCTCGCCCCTCTTTCAATACTTTTTAAAAAGTATCGTAGTGAAATAAAGCTCTCCAAGTTATTCACACGCCATAAAGCTACACCCTCAGTATGTCCTTCTGCTTGCGTATGCGGGAGGCATTTAGACAGTTCTACTGTTGTAAATTTGATTTGACATTATTAAAATCTGTAGTTTACATTAGTAAAATGTAGTTCGTTTCAGATGTTTTTTAAGAAGTCTCTTCCATCTCAGGGTATTGTTGCTGGAATTACGTATGCCACTTTATCTACACTTTGATTCAACAGAGACTTAATACAAATAATAGTGATGGATTAAAAAAAGTTTCAGGTTTCCAGAAGATTTATCTACATAATTTCAGAATTTTCCCGATTTTGTGGCCTTTATGGCATAGGGTCTAGGTATTAGTTTGAGTACCCTTGACTTGAACACACATTTCTCTTAGTTAAACTGGATTGGCTGCAAAAGGAAAAGCGACATCCATTGAGCGTGGTAAAAACGCTCTTCCTCCTACGGTCCTGTAGGTGCAGAAATGCCATGTGGAAGCCAGGGGAGGATTGTGGGAATTTTTTTCCCTTGTCCCTGCATCCCCCACCCTTTACAGTGCCGCAGTTCTTAAAGCGGCAGGAGCATTCTTCCCGTTTACGGCACGTTTCTGTGGATTTAACAAATTTAGTTTTCTATTTATAAAAATGTGGACTAGCCAGTTACATCCAGAGAAGTTCTGGAATCAGCAGCGAACTTGGCTTATGGCTCCATCTTTCTTGCCAGCACAGGGGAGAGATGTGCACTGCGTGCAGGCCTCATCCAGAATATGCTGTCATCATCTGCTGTTTTTCCATTTTGCAGAGCAGCGTTAAGCATCCAAACTAGCACAGATCCCATTGATTGCCTTACAAGCTCAATATACCCAGCAAGCCTCAGGGGTCTTAATTGCATTGCATGCTGGAGCAGCCCTGGCCAACTTCACACCCTTGATCAATAGTGTGCTGCCACTAGAAATCCCAGTGACAACCGGTTCATCGAAGTCCAGATTTGCTTGAAGTGTTCCTGGACTGTAGGCCCTAAGCAGTTGAGCCACACAGGAGTTTTTGTATGTAGAGATATAAAAGTCTGATAGGGATGGCAAAAAATAAAGTTTTCGCCTAAAGGGTATTTACTTGACTGCAGCTACCTAATGCCTTAAACAGAAGTGGAACAAGACTTTTCACCATTTTGGCCTGTTTAAACCAAATCATACTGATCCTTTGTAACCAATCTTCCTACACAGACTTGTCTCTGGGCTTAGTCTTTACTGATCGAACGTTTGTGTTCAATTCCTTCACATCATGTTTTTCAGCCTTCCCCGTCAGATCCTTCGCTTGACTTGCCAGCGTCCGACAAGACGCACGCCGCGGGCCCCAACTCCCAGCTGGCCACCTGCGATGAGCAACAGGCGGGAGGGGACCAGAAGCAGAAGAAGAAAAAGAAGAAGAAAGTGAAAGCCAGTCCCGGGGAAGGCGGGGGCGAAGCCGGGCCGGAGGGCTGTGTAGACCCCCTGAAGAACCCGGCCGCAGAACAGCCGGAGGAGAAGAAGAAAAAGAAGAAGCCAAAGGAGAAGAAGGAGCCGAAGGAACCCAAGCCGCCCAAAACACCGAAAACACCCAAGACGCCAAAAGAGCCCAAGGAGAAGAAAGTCAAAACGACCACGCCGAAAGCAAAGAGCACCCCAAAAGTCAGGTAGGCAAGCATGTGATTTTAGAAACTGGAGGAATGTATAGTAGAACGGTCCTGTATAGTTCAAGTGCTTCTGTTCACAAGCAGATGTGAGTGGTTATACTCACTTTTCCTGCTACAATTGGGGAATCCCCCTCCTTTGCAAGAGAAACCACTTGTCTTGAGCTTTTTATCTCCTTTACCAATTTTATCTCCTTTTTATTACAAGATATAGTTTATCTTCCTGGGATATTTTACTTTTAAATAAAAGGTTGGTTCAATAAAGGGGGTATCACTAGCAAAACAGCTTAAGGTTGTAGTCAACAAGGGCGAATAGCATGCCCCCAGCTCCTGAAATGTTTCATTACATGTTGAGAGAATAGCACTTGTTCAAAAATGGGTAAATTCAAATGTTTTACATGTTTATAATTTATACATAATGTCTCATTTATATTTAGGGGGCCAGGTAACAATTTTCCCTGGTATTTCCATATGCTTACAAAACCCTATCCCTCGAAAAAAACTCTAGGGAAACTTGATCAATTAGAAGAAAGCTTGGTAACCTATAGAAACCCACAAGTGAATATGGTTAATGGGTCACATGGTTTGGCAGGCAAAGCCTTTGACCTGTCCTGGTTAAATGAAGAAAATCTTCATGGTTACTAGAGGACACTCAGAAAGCCTAGTTTCCTGGTATACATGACCTTGCCTGTGACATCTGGCCATTTTGTAAAGATGCAAAATATTCTCTGTATCTTAGACCACATTTAGGTCATGATTATAGTACATATATAGTAAACCCTGTACTCCTTCATAACATGTCCTTGTCTTTGACCTCACCTAAAGGTCAGTGGCAAAGCTACATCAAATCTCTACTTGCAGCTATATTTGTTGTGTTAATTTGTATTTCAAGAAGTGACCTTCTCTAATGGTACTTGGCAGCGTGTCAGTACAGTCTTTTGCACCTCCCTTGCATAATGGATAGACTGTCTTTTGGACAACAGGACATCTGCAGCTGAGTAAAATTTAGAACAGGCTCTCCATTAAATCTTAGCAGAATCTAATTCTAATACATTTACATTTTCAAGGCTTGGTGGCTTTATATTTTACGTCTTAGTTTATTTTCAAGGTCCGCTGTACACACTGCATCTGATCAGTTTTGATTTCACATTGCATAAAAATCTTGAGATTTTCAATTGGGATTCTGTCATTTCAGCATCTTGCTCCTACATATTTAGGGCTCGGTTTCAATTTGAAACTTTCAAAAAGTTCAAACCTGGATTATGCTCCTCCCCCCCTGTGACTAGAACTCCCCGTGTGGCAGTGCACAGTTGGCACAATTGAAGTCAGCATGCTGAGGGCAGGGTTAGGCTGAGTCGGCCACAGTGCAGCTCTTGGCTGCTGGTGAAATGGCTACCTCTGTGTCGTCTTGGGCACCAGCAGGCTGGCTGTGAAGTCTGTGAGCAACAGACTGCTTGTGCAGTTGGTAATGAACCTGCTGGTGTGCCTGCCATGTCAGAAGCTGATTGGCTTCGTGGGAGGGCAGGTGGGAGGAGTTTGCCTATCGTCTCTTCTGTGTGATTACAGGGCACTGGAAGGGAACGGGTTCTCTGATTGGGAGTCAGGACAAACTATGGTACTACTTGCGACAGGTCTTCCAAATTGTCCTCCCGTAGTCTGGCATGCGGGCAGTCTCTTTCCAAGAGCAAATCTTGAAAAGTCCTGCTTGCAGCAGTTTGTAGTATTTTATGATATGTCTTCTCAAGATGGGATATTCATTGGTGTCTACAAAGAGATCTAGCAGTATTTGTGTCCATTGTCTCATCAATAGGCAGAGAGTACACCTCGCAGTTTAGAGGCCGACTCTTCAAACATTTCAATATCCTGCACTATTTCACCAATTTGTGATACTGTCCAGTGTGATCAGATCACACTTAAACATTTGTGTTTCTCAGGAGCTTGTAAAGCCGCAGAAGCAGAGATGCACTTTTTTTACGACTTGTCCTTCTGAATAAGTCTGAAGTTATCTGTGATAAGTTCACTTGCCATATAGACGTCTTGTAAAACAATGTCCATCTCCTTTCACGATCTTTTGAAAGTCACTTGCTGCTTGTGTAGGCTTTTTGAGGGCTTTGATTTTTGCATCTAAATCTGTACTGAGACTGTTGTATTTCTAGATTGTATTTTGCTTCTCAAATAAGTCTTGCATTTTTCACTGACAAAAAAAGCATCAATGTACATTAAAAACACTCAAATTCTTTCCCTTCCAGTAGCCATTTATAAAGTAAGCATGTAGCTGGAACTCCAATTTTTTTTATCCTCCCAAACTACATCAGCATACAGCTACGTTTATTAAATTCATAATGTGTATATATATTCATAGAAATGCTCCCCGTGGAATGGATGAAATTAAAAAAACAGACTGGATTGAGCCTGTAGGCTGTAGTTTCCTCACCTCAAGTACAGGGGTTGTCCCTTTCAGCCCAGATGTAGACAGCTGGGAATTCCAAATTGGGTCAGTATATAATACACAATTGGTGATTCTATAGAAAAGCATTTTGATGGGAAAAGGTAAATTTTCATTTTTTATATAATGTTTAATATAAATATTTGTTCAGAATTCATATATCCAAATATCAGCTCCGATTTTGCCAGTGTCAAGATAGTAGTGTCAAAGATTGGCAATCGGCTTTCAGTCTTGTCGTCTGCTGCGTTTTGCGGGATATGGCTTTGTCTCGATTCCCCCCCCCCCAAAATGTAAGTTATTTTAGAATTTTCTTGTTCTCTAGATGGTATGAAATGTACATAGCAAGGCGGATATTAGTGATTGATCATCCACATTCCTCCAGCTTTGGCAAAGCTCTGTGGTTTACATAGCTATTATATGAAGTGATACAGGTTTATGTGAGATTTAATTACTTAGATGTAAGTGTGCGTCCATTGCAGGTCTTGTGTTTTTGTTGCACCTCTGTCAGACTGATTTGTGCATTCAACAGTCAGGAAACAAAAATGAACTGGTGCCTGACCGTGGCTTGAGGCAACTTTCAGTCACACCTTTCTACTGGTATTCCACCCCCCACATTGTTTGGCTTACAGTTAAAAGCCAAATATTAGTGTTTGTCTGGCTCCTAGTGGGTAAGTGCTTTACATAGGTCAATAAAATGTGACCAATATTCAAATTTGTATTAACCGACATGTAATGTGCAACTTAACACTTTGTCCTGTGCTTCATGATTATGCAAAATAATTACTGTACAAATCTATTAGTACAACAATTTGGTGATCTGGCTGCGTAATTTACCATTCCCTGCCACCTTAACCTCTGTACCTTCGTTGGTTCTTAAATAGCCCTGCTAATACCCTTTATCATTTCCAGGGCAGAAAAAGAACTCTGGAGCTTTCAGGATATACGACTGTATAGTTCAAGTACAAGGGGAAAACAGCTTCTGTTTATCTAGATGTGGAATCAAGTGTGCTCACCTGGTTTGTATTTGATTTGCTTAGCAGATGCCCTTGTCCAGGGCGACTTACAGTATAGATGATAGACTAAGTTGAAGTATAGCACAGGGAACACTTCTGCATGTACAGTCCGGTAAAAATGTCAACTCACATTTGAATTTTCATTTGGCTATTGAAGAAAAATAAAACCCAATCCATGACCTAAAACTAAATAGGAGTAACAGTCTCCTATAGTTCAATGTGTTATTTCATTTTGAATGGGGACATGGATTCCTCATTGCTACTGTACTGAAAGTAAAAATGTTATCAATTATACAGAATGAAGTAATGCCCAGCAGAACCGGCATTCATTGTGCTCAGTGCCTGGAGAGCAGACATTGGTGGGATTTATTCATAGAACTCAAATTATATAAACTATAGACAGATGTTCATAATTTTTAAATTTGAACAACTGTTACCACGAGAGTTTCAACATTTCAGACATCTGAAGTTAATTTTCCATTTCCCATGGTTTTTGAAAATGGAATCCTGTCAAGTTCTGAAAACACAGATGTAGCACTAACATTCAAACTGCGGCAAAAGGCAGACAGTGGCTCAACGCAAGAAGCCGTGTAAGGGAATATAAATTAGCTATAGACCACATGCAAATGTAAACTCTGCCCTTCATTTCTATGGCAACCCAGGTGAATTCTGTCAAGCTTTTATTGGGTATAAAATGGGTTATGCTTAAAAACTATAATTGATTTTTTTTCATGTGATGTTTTAGAGGTAGTAAAAGACATTCCCATTAAGTAATAACTTCAACAGACCTGCTAATGACTTCAGAAATGTGAAACTCAATTTCTTAGCAACACTGTAGCTCACCATGTGCTCTTTCAGTGCCTTGTGCCTCTTCAAGTGGTTTCATCCACTAAGTTACACAGGTACTAAATTACATAAGTCACAATTTTTATGAATGGCTTTTATACCATTGGCTTGGGTTGCAGTCTTTGACGTAAAACAATGAGGCGTTATTGGTCCTGCATTTGAGTGTCACATTTTTGACTGTTTTGTGGATTTTGTAGCCTCACATCTGAACTCCCACTGTGACTGTGTGCTGTGACTTTATTATATCTCCATAAATAGGCTCCTGTCATACCACACCTCAATCTGCAATGCAAGTAAGCAGACTTTAGAACCTGATGCCCTGCTTTCTTCATCGTAGTCTGTAGTTTTGGCATAGAGCATCCAAATTCTGATAATTTCACAACAATTGCTGCAATAGTTTGCCAGTGTTTTTTTGTAGCAAGCTTTGAAGATTTACTGTGGGGCTGTACCTTGAACTCATACTTTAGGTGGCCTAATCATAATCAGTGTCAGCTTCCTTCATAAGTGTTGAACTGGAACTGTTCCATTTCTTATTTCTTTCAGTGACTTTCCTTTCGGTAACTTTTTGTTAGCTGAGGCTTGTAGGTAGTCCATTCATTATGTTCTCAGTGTTATGCAGTGTTATTGTAAGTCTGACTAAACTACGTAGTATTTTTTCAACTAATGTTATCTTCAAGGGGAAAACTGTCATGCTACATTTCCATGGGCCAGTGACCCAGAGTGCATTCAGCTAAATTCAAGTCAGTTGTCTTCATACTTTTGTCTATGAATTGCACTTGCAGAATAATGCAAACTGTAGTGTTCATCATGTTAAAGATGTTAAGAAACATTTTTGGGTTACTCAACAGTGTCAGATGCTGTTTGTTGGTAACGGATCATAACTTTGTTCTTTATTACTCATTAAATTGTGATATGTTTGCGGAAGGGATCATTAGCACAGATGACAGGGCACATAAATAGGCCTAACTGCTGCTAATCTGAAAGAGGTTCATTAAAGGTGGAGTGATTTTCCATGTTTATTTTTTTGTTTTTGACATTTTGCACTACAGGTTGGGAAAAAAGGAATAAATCTTCATAGAGACACTTTGTATGAACAAATTTATTTGGGGGGGAAGCAGCCAGAAAAGACATAATGAACTTGCTTTAAAATGCATCTCTTAGGGGATATAAACTGCTTAACAGCAGGTTTTAAGTCTGATTTGTTTTCTAAAATGTCACTAAAAAGGACATCCTCAAAGTACAGGACGTTAATTCTGTTAATCTTTTCAGAGACTAAAGCAAACCACCGTATGAAGTTTAGAAGGATAACCACTTTAGGAAAATGTAATTTATGCACAGTTTGTAGCAGGGATTGTGGCTACAGTTTGTAGGTTAAAGCTTGTATGGATTAGATGTCACGATCTTTTATTTTTTACGTCATCGACCTGTCATTTGACAAGAATAGTTCTGCAGGGTGCATGACCTTGCTATGAAGAAGAAGATAGGGCTGTTGTCTTATGTAGAAACGGGTATAGGTGGTTTTGATTTGATTAGTGCTTAAAAGGAAGGGGCTGTTTCAGGCTTTTTTTAGGGTTTCCTTCAAAATATCGGTTCTTTACGAGAACGGTGTGTTTATGGATGTTACAGGAAGCTGTGACTCACTGTTTGAAGCTGCAGCTTCCACCTGAAGAACGTGTATTTTTCTCTGTAAACAAAACCGTGTAGCTGCTGGTCTGTGGAGTCTGGCACTCGTGGAGGTGTGTAGCTCAAGGTGACTCATTAGTGAAAGCAGGTGTTAACGCGCCCTGCTCCCACTCCCGTGTGTTAGTCCTAGCCGCTCTGTGCTCTAGCTTTGTTCCTGGACTTTGCTGTGGCTTGTACGTCTGTGCTGCGCAAGTTAGCATTTTTCAGCCTGTATCAGACCTCCGGGACAATTCTTCTTTTCAGCAAGCAGAGTTTTGTGGATCTCTTTAAATTGTGCCGGGGTTTTCCTCATTCAGCTCTATCAAGTTGCAAGTACAGTTTTTTTTTATCTCAAAACCTAACTTTCACTGTTACATTCAATGGGGATCACTTAAAGTATTCAAGTCAAGTCAGGTTCTTTTCTGAAGTTACTGCACAGGCATCCTATGAAGTATCCTGCACAAGTAGCCTTCCTCCATTTTGTTCCGAAGTGTTGCAAGACGGGCTAAAGAGAAACAATACCCATCTGTCACACTTTCCAAGGAGGTTGGAATAGCCATTAAAATTATTTTCTGACATATTTGGAAGGCAAAACAGTGGCCATAGGAGCTTTGATAAAGGCCCCATTGTTGTTTTCACACAGAATGAGCTTGGGATCATGTAACCCCACTGCCAATAAGAAGTATGAATTTTTAAGCAGATGGATAAAATGGGGGCAAAAGTGGTCTGCCACACCGCGAAGAGACTAAAGGCTTGTCTTTTTTCTCTCCCAGCATGTTATTTCATCATGCACTCTGGATATGCCATTTTACAAGACATTAAATCTGTTACCCGTAGTTCTTAGCAGTAGTGCCTGTGCCTTGGGTCCCCTAAATTAAATTGTTCGCAGCAGTCTATGATTTATAGAGGTCAGCTATCAAAAGCAGTTCTGTCATCTCCTTGAACCAGGCACTTGCTCACTTCCTTGATAGAGTTTGATAGAGTTGCCTTCTTTTCTTATTTGTTATGTTTTGGGGGGGCTCTGCAAGCAGTGATTTGATAAAAGCAAACCACAGAATGCTGTAGTGCAGGTGTTGAGAATGTTTGAAAGATGATTGAGGGAAGCAGATGGCTTTAGTCAGTGGCATCCAGCCAAAAGAGCAGGTGCTGGTCATGTGACCACTGGTTACCAGGGTAATCTGATTGCTCTTGGCATGCAGATGAAAGGAAAGGGGCCCAGTGCGCGGCTATAGCATTGTATAATTTGTGGCAGCGAGAGCGGAAATAAGTGCTGGAAGTGGAGCCTCATAGTAGGGGTGGCTCTTGGCCATGTGTGGTGTAAACTTAGGGAGAGATGAGAGGGAATACAGTATGTCGCAGTTTTTTTTTCTTTTTTAGCTTGGCGAGAAACTGTAAGAATGAAATAAATACGCGGCGCGTCTTACATGTCCGAAGTGCACTTCAGTGTAAAGTCCTTGACACCACTGTGAAGTGAAAGAGCAAAATTGTACACTTCGCAACCAGCTTTATTTCACCATATCTGCCTTGATCTGGACCAGCGCTGCGAAAGTTAGCCCTTTTGTTCTTTATCCTTTCCTTTGTACATCAGAGTCTTCTCGAGGGCTGCGTTGGTTCAGAAAGAAAGATTTTACATATTGCTTGTGACTGAAATTATTGACGTTACTTTTTTGTATAACAATTTTAGCAGGGACTAGTCATCTGAAATCCAAACCTACAGCTGTAAACCCATTTGTAGCTCAGATGTTATTTATTCTTCATACCAAACCCTGAATTACTTAACCACTTTCTTCCTCTAAAGAGAACTTCCTCTCGCACTGATGTGGAAGTGGCGTATGTCCTCCTTTTATTAAGAAATCTGTCAGTCAATGGAGTGGAGGGGGAGGGAGAAATCAGCTCAAGAGCTCCTATTAAAATGAAACGTCAAGAAGACTTAAGGTTTTGCTTGAAATGCAGGACCTGTCTTCTTTAAAGTGTCATTTAGTTGACCACTTTTGTGCCACTTTTTTTTCTTTAACTGTTGCATTTTTGTACTGTATGCAGTAAATCTTTCCTCTGAGATTTGTCTGCTGGTCAGGCTGAGGACATTTAAGGAAGTGTCATAGACTCAACCTCTAGACTCTGAACTTGGAGGGAGGGGTTGTGGGTTCAGATCGGGTTTGGGACACTGGGGATGTTCCCATTTGTTAGAAAAGTTAGAAAAGTACCTTTAACACAAAGGGCTCACATTGCCAGGTGACTGCATCGCATCATTAAAGGGTCCCCAAGTCATGGTAATGCATGACTTCCCTGGTAAAATAAAGGAGTTAACAATCTTAAATCCAATTCCCGCTTGAATATTTCAAGTAGACATTTTTTGTAAACAGCCTTTCTGATTAATTTATATGACCTTTTCTAGAAACTGATCCAGTTTTAGGAGAATGAAAAGTAGGGAAACAGTTTGAGTGTACAGAAATGCACTTGCATCTTGTGATATGGGAGCACGTGTAGGGAATTGAATTTCAGCGGTGCATTTGTGTACTGAACATACCCGTCATTTTCTGAAGTCACACACCCAAAGAAGGCTCCACAGCCGAAACGTGTTTCCTTTCTTTTCAGCACAGAATAAACCTTCACTTGTCCCTTTGCAGCCTATGCATGCTGACGCATTTCACTTGAACGTTTTCTGAAGGGGGTTGGGTTTATTAATCTTTCACTTTTATCCCCTCTTTTCAGTGTTAAAAAGCCCGATCCCGAAACAAGCACTACAAAGAAGAAGGAAGGGAAGCGCAAGCGGGAATCCTCTGACAATTCTGACTTGGAAAAAACACCCCCTCCTTCTCCAGAGGAGGAGGAGGATCTGGGCGTTCAGGTAAAGATACTTAATCTTACTGGCTGTGGGGAATAAGGCAAGTGACAGAACTGGGCTATTGTATGGTACCTGTTACACTTAAATTTCAGGTGTAGTAAAAGCACTCTATCATGGTTACCTGTGGGACTAACCAAGGCGATCTTTTTAGATGGGTGCGTTTGCATCGCAAAATACATATAATTGGGCCAAGTGAATTCTGGGGTTTTTTATACATGGTGGTCTTCAAAAGGACTGTTGGCAACTGAAGCCCTAGAAATGTGTGGGCAGATTCATGTACTTAAGTCACATTTAAGTTTTGCATGCTTTTGAGTTTAATTTGTTGGTTTTCCCAGCCATCACTATTGTAAATGCAACATTTTTCTATTTGCGGCATCTGAATTTTATTATAGATATGTTTTATTAATAGATACAGACAGGACTACCAGTGCATGAGCTATATTGCTAGTAACATTAGAGGAAATGTGAACTGGGTTTTTTTGTGTGCTGTTGCATATTACTGGAGTCAGAAAAATCAGATTTCTCCCCATCATTTGCAGTGAAGTGGGAGAAAAGAAATGGCAAGGTGTAAAATGGGTAGTTTAAGGGTAGAAGTGACTAATTCTGTGTCCTTTACTAGACATCCTGTGCTCAACTAGACAGAAATGGGAAGTGCAGGACTCCAAAGCAGACAGCCATTAAGTGTTTGTTTGCCCAGATAACGCAGAGTAAAAGAAAACCTTTGTTCAAACTTTACTATATGTGTGGTATGAAAGCTCGGTAGCTCTCTGCATTATTTCAAACATCATGTAAGATTTTTCCTGAATTGGAACCATAAGATATCCTTTTTCTTAAACATTTTTGCAAAGCCTTTTTAATAAAATTAGACAAGTGGTTTTCAATCTGTCGTTTTTACAAATGATCTAATTTTCTATGGCTCAAAAATGGTTTGCAGCGCATGTGCCCTCTAGCACCAAAAATTGGATAATGCTACTACTTCTAAGTTTATTTATAAAACATAAGTCAACTTCTTCCTCTTTAGTATGCTAATTGGAATTCCTTGGCATTATATCAGCTTTAATCCATTTAGCGTTGTATCACAATACAGTAAATTCTGTTAGACTGTAAGCATATGGAAGCAGTCAAAAAAGAACCATTCAGAAAAAACAAATGACCCAGGGTTTTGACATACTGTAATTATCTTGTTTCCCTGACTTATTCTAAAGGTACTTGCCAATTATGTTTTTCTGAAAGTCTAACCCATCTAATTTAGATTAACCTTACTTTTCTGGTATAGTTTTTCCCTGTCTGCACCCAATCGCTTGCATGTCGCCGCGTAAGGCAGTAACGTGTGTCGAGTTATGAGCCGCGATAACCTGCCGTTGCAGAAGAGACGGTCCAGCAGGCAGGTCAAGAGGAAGCGTTACACTGAGGACTTGGAGTTCAAGATTTCCGATGAAGAAGCGGAGGATGGAGACGCCACAGGACAAAAGTCACCGTCAAACGCTTCGGAGCAGCAGGTCAGCTCTCACCCCACACGCTCCTGCCTCTTTCTCATGGCTGGTCAGGGGTGGTTGCGCAAGGAGGTTTTGCATGTTTGTATCGCTAACCTTTTGAAATAACTTTTAAGGAGGCTCCGGATGCAGAGGGCCCCGTTGTGGAAAAAATCATGGGTATGCGCATGGGGAAGAAGAAGGTAAGGACCTGAATTTTATGTTCGCCGAATGATCAGTAGATTTCTAGGAGATTGCCAAGTTACATTTGTAGAGCACTTGCTTGGGAGACGGTAACCCTGTCGGCATTTCGTAAACTTAAAAAATAATTGGGGTGATTTTTTTTTTTCATTCAGTTGAAAATCTGAGCTTTAATCGCTGGATCAGTTACTGATTAGTATAATGTTAACCGTTTGAATAAAGTCTTTGATGTAGTTTACCTTTAACCCTTTCACACAAAGAGAAGTAGATGGTGTGTTATTCCTTTGAAACATCCTCAAATAAGTGTAGAGCAAGTCAGCCAAAAATAATACTTGTGGCTTTTAGTAGTGCAGCTGCAAATTGGCTGCTGCCTGAGGAAATGGTACGTTTGGCGTCTGCTTAACACTGTGGTTTTGGCAGGAAGCCAAGCTCCGGGTCAGGTTATTGTGAATGGAGCTGCGTGTGGTTGAGGAGGAGTTAAAATGATTCATGACTCAGTTGACACGGAGAGCAGGGTGGTTGGGATTGATAGTTTTTTGTTGAGGTATTACAATAAAGTGAAAAGTCCTGCCAAAAGTGCATTCTAAGTTTTTAAAAAATTCAAACTGTGCTAGTTATTACCCTAAGTAGCTGTGGATTTAAATAGCATTGACAGATGGTTCTTTCAGACACATTCCTCTAATATTAAGCTTATTATTTCAGGCGGAGTCTGGCGAAGAAGTGGATATTGAAGAATTTTACGTCAAATTCAAAAACTTGTGAGTCCTTATTCTAATTTGAAGTGTGCAATACTATTTTCTAAACAGAAATAATGACTGAACTAGAAATGTGAAATTTTTTAAAATGCTCTCAATAAAGGAGTGCACTGTGTTCAAATGACTTTTAAAATCTGTGCATTCAACACAGTGCTTCTAAGCGGTAATGTTAAAAGCTTGGAACTGCAAGATGTATTGGTGCCATTTCAGGTTTAGGGACTGGCAATTCATTATTGAATTTACTCAGTTCTGGTCTCATAACTTTTCGGCAATATTTCATAACTTAATGCAGTACTAGCCCTTTTATCCTTGTTCACCAGTTTACTGATTATAGAGTAAGAGTGTTTTTTTTAACCTCAATGCCCGGTGTGATGTTGAGATCCTTCTTTGAACACAGTGCGTCTGTGCCGCAAAAGGACGCAAAATGTCAGTCTGATAGAGGCATATAAATCGAAAATGCATAGTGTTAAAACATTTTATTTTTGAAGAGCTAAAAAATTGCTGTTTTGGTTATTCTTTTTTCAGCCAATATAATTTTTTTATATTGCCTTAGTATAAGAGGTTATTCCATACTCTGGAAAGTTGCTGAACCATTTTTAAGTATAAATATAAATATTTTGCATTCCTCAGGTATCACTCTACTTGTTCTTGTCTGAATGTCAATACCATCAACAGCCACAAGCACAAACCTGTATTTAAAGTGTTTTTTAAAGTAATTCATATACACAGAAAAAAAGTTAAATGTCTAGTTTAGTGAGAGACTTGAATTCTTGAGTATTCCGAATTGTTTGGGTCTGTCCGAGGAAATGGCTGTATGAATTGTGAAGGTGACTCTTAAGCTCCCTGTTTGCAGTTCCTACCTTCACTGTCGATGGGCTGACATAGAAGAGCTGGGGAAGGACAAAAGAGTCCACCAGAAAGTTAAGAGGTTCAAAGCTAAGCAGTCCCTTAACAATTTCCTCAGTGAGGTGAGCATTCTTCCTCTCCTGTCTTACGAGGACTGGTACACTCTCTGCTAAAGTCCCTTTATTGATCTTTAATTGTTTTGTCCTGTTTCTGAGAAGAGATGAGTGCTTTTCACTGCTGTCAACTTTGCTCTTGCTGTGAATTTCTTGAGTGACATTTGGTTTTGTGAAAATCAGTGCTGTTATGTTAAATATTAGAATATTAGGCATGAAAGGCTTAGTGCTCAACACCAGTTTGTAGTATTAAAGCTTTAAGTTTTTTATATGATCAAATTATCATTCCATTAGATCGCAATCCAGAACTGAAGGCAAGCCTTGCTAATTTCCACATTGAATGCTTCACATTAAGGAATACCAAGCAGTCGAAAAACATTGCTTTTGAAAAGCCCTTTTGATTCCTCATTAGTGGATTGTAATTTCACACTTCATTTAAAATATTCTTAAACATTCTCTCACAGTAAAAAGGGTTTTGCACAATAATTAAGAGGCCCAGTTCATAAAGCCTGAGGAATTTGCTTTCCTCATGGGGAGGATTCCTGCTGAATTGTAGCACTTTAATTAATGTGATTTGGGTTTTACAGTCATACATTCTCTTCAGCAAACTTAATATCTAGTTTCCCCTTCGGTTTTCAGATGGATGATGAGCCTTTCAATCCAGACTATGTGGAAGTGGATAGAATTCTGGATGTTTCTCAAAGCACTGATGACAATGGAGAGGTACCTTTCTAAATTTTTCCCCCTTATAGTCACATAGGGGAAAAATGCTTAAGCATTTCATGGTATATTTTATTTATTTGTAAATTGTCAAATATAAATTGCTCGAACAATACACATTTTGTAAAGTAGCTCTTTTTCCACCACTTACCCTCAACTGTTCTAAAAAAAATTCATTTCTCTATAGCCTGTCACTCACTATCTGGTGAAGTGGTGTTCGCTTCCATATGAAGACAGCACTTGGGAGCTGAAGCAGGACATAGACTCGGCTAAGATTGAAGAATTTGAGAAACTTATGGCCAGAGAGCCTGAGCTGAATCGAGTGGTAAGAATTTGCACCACACTCTTTTTTTTTAATATGGGGGGAAAAGGACATGTTCTCGCGGTCACTAGGAAACCACTAATGGGAATTGTTTTATTTAAAACAGGAGCGGCCTCCTGCAAGCGACTGGCAGAAATCCGAGAGTTCCAGGGAATATAAAAATGGAAATGCACTCAGGGAATACCAGCTGGAGGGAGTCAATTGGCTGCTCTTCAATTGGTACAACGCGTATGTATACAATTAGTTATGACTACTCTTTCAAATGTTGCACCATCCCCTTTTCCAGCTGAGCAATATCTGCTATGTCTTTAAGCGTTTCAGTTATTTAACTTGATTTCATTTGCCATATAATTTTTCAGGAGTATTTAAAGTGAATCATGAAGGGAGACCTCGTTACAGTAAAGCACATTTTCCTGATTCCCTTCTGCAGTCTTTTTTTCTCTTCCAGACTTAAACAAGGTTTTTACTCTAGAGCTGTTAGCTTTATGATAATTTTTTTTTTCCAGACGAAACTGCATTTTGGCAGACGAAATGGGCTTGGGAAAAACTATCCAATCCATTACATTCCTCTATGAGATTTTCTTGAAGGGAATTCATGGCCCTTTCCTGGTTATCGCACCACTTTCTACCATTCCTAACTGGGAGAGGGAGTTTCACACATGGACTGAACTGAATGTGGTTGTGTACCATGGCAGTCAAGCTAGCCGGAGGACGATACAGACATACGAGATGAACTTCAGGGATCCACAGGTGTGTAGACCTAGACAATGCCTTGAAAACGTTTATAGCATCCACAGGCTGCTGTCATTCTAGCAGGTCTGAAGTGTAGATGCAGTAGCAGGGCGTTTTCCATCTTTTCAACCTTTTTGACAAACTTATTAAATGTATGTTGTGCATGTGACTGTTTTATTGATATAAAAATATTTTGTGTTTAAACAAAATGCCACTTTGTGTGCTGATCTTCTGCACTAGAAAGGAGCAGCACAGCTAGTATAAACTGCTTTCCTGGAAAACCTGACAATTCAGTGTTTTCAGGGAACACTTCAGTAGAACTTGATTTTCTAGTATGACCTTGTATTTGGTGCTGAAAAAAACTGGTACCGCGTGAAGAATGTTTGTTTCTAACTGAACTCTGTTTATGGATTTTAAGAGTGTGGCAAGGGAGAGAAAAAACTAGCCATGCACTACCTTGAAGCTCTGTGCAGGTTAGTCCTCTTACACACTGCATTGCATTTATTTTCTCTGTAAAATGCTGTTCCCTTCAGGGCCGTGTGATAAAGGGAGCCTACAAATTCCACGCTGTCATCACCACCTTTGAAATGATACTGACTGACTGCCCAGAACTGCGGAACATTCAGTGGCGCTGTGTTGTCATTGATGAGGCCCACCGACTGAAGAACAGGAATTGCAAGCTGCTGGAAGGGCTTAAAATGATGGATATGGTTAGTTTTGCTCCAGCACATCTGAAACATGCACTGTACGATCATGTCGAAGTGGGCCTTTACATGTTTCTCTCTCATTTGATGCAGGAGCACAAAGTTCTACTCACTGGGACTCCTTTACAGAATACAGTAGAAGAACTCTTCAGTTTATTGAATTTCTTAGAACCTGAAAGATTCCCTTCAGAGTCCACATTCATGCAAGAGTTTGGTGATTTGAAGACCGAGGAACAGGTATTTGGGGATAGTACATGCTTTATGACTGTTAATTGGTAAAACTTAGTGGTTGCAAATGACACTTCATAAACGTGTAGCAGGCAAGCAACTGACATTCTGATCTGCATTAAATTAGTTTTATTGTACAAGAATCATATGACTATTGCAGGGTTTTCCTCATGGTTGATATGTTTGATGCCATTATTATTTAAATCGCATGTTGTAATTAATTTATAAGTGCAATTTGCAACCTCTATCACAATTTGTGTTGTATTTGCATCTAAAACTAGGGGAATGTATTTTTCGAATAAAAAAAGGCAAAATTAATTTTAAGAGACTTACCATTGCTACAAACCCTTGAACATTTCAGTTGTTTTGTTTTTTAGAAATAGCTTTAAATGGGTTCCAGTAGTGACTTCAAAGGTGCAGTGCAGGAGGAAGAGGAACAGATAGCCATGTGACAGGACAATAACTTTATTCAGGTGAAAGGAAGAGGAAGTAGCATTAACTGCAAAGTGAGTTAAGGTATCCATTTAGATGAAAAATAGCTATAAATTGCCTATAACCAGTTATTTAGCAAGAGGTATTCTGTAGTTTTATATCCTTACCCTCAGTCTGATTTTTACCTTATCTGATGGTCAGCAACTGTAACTGAAGTCATGGCTGGTGAAGTTGGTAAAAAAATATCTTTAATTAGAATTGGGATATTCAGGTGTGACCTAACATTTTAAAGAATGTCTAACAAGAACCTTGCATCTCGTAGGTGCAAAAACTCCAGGGTATCTTGAAACCAATGATGCTGAGGCGACTGAAGGAAGATGTTGAGAAGAACTTGGCACCAAAGGAAGAGACCATCATTGAGGTAGAGCTCACCAACATCCAGAAGAAGTACTACCGTGCTATTCTGGAGAAGAACTTTGCCTTCCTATCTAAGGGGGGTGGAGGCGGCGGCAATGCAAATGTACCAAACCTTTTAAACACTATGATGGAGCTTAGGAAGTGCTGCAACCACCCTTACCTTATTAATGGTAAGATACTTGTTTTTTTTCCTGTTGTTTGATTGTTCTAGTACTATCAGAATAGTAATTTCTTAAGTTGAAATCTTGTCATTTGGGAAGTAGAAAATAATTTTTGAGTGACTTATACATGATGAGATTACCTCAATATAAATGTAAGTTGTTGTAGACTTTTAGTTTTGTACCAAAAGGTGGTGGGCTGGGAATCGAGTTTTGTGTCTTGCTTCTTGTAGATGTTGGTCTTACATTCCTAGTTACATGGTGTCCATGTGGATTCCCGACCGACAGTTGTCTTTTGGTGATGTAAGAGTTGAAAAGAGGTTTTAGGCTCGTGCCTGCTGTCTGTAAAAGTGGATTTCCTTACACTTTTAGCTCTAGAGGAAACTGAGTGAAGCCATGCTGCCTGTTACTTATAAAGAAATGCTGTTAAACACCACCTCACATCTTGCCGATGCAGGTGCTGAAGAGAAAATTCTGGAAGAGTTCAGGGAGACTCATCATTCCGACTATCCAGATTTTCACCTCCAGGCGATGATCCAGGCTGCTGGAAAGCTAGTGCTGATTGACAAGCTGCTGCCAAAACTAAAGGCTGGTGGCCACAGGGTGCTTGTCTTCTCCCAGATGGTCCGATGCCTGGACATTTTGGAGGACTACCTCATCCAGAGAAGGTACGACCTAGCAGCATGCAGTGTCCCACCACTTGTGCCCCCCCTCCCCCAATATACACAGACAAGTACTCATTACAAAAAAAAATCCCGTCAGCTTTAGTTGATTTTGTACTTCTGCCATTTAAAGTCTATCTATATAGAATATTAATTGTACTCCACAGATGGACTTTCTTTTGATTCTACTTCTTTGGGAGTCACGGGGCTTGTTGCATTACCTAATTAATGCGTAGAAACGTTTTATTTTAACAACCCTTGAGAAATTATGAAAAAACATATAATTAAACTAATTTTCACACAGCAACTGAGAATTTAAATAAGGTAGTTCTTGACTTGATTGATTATATATCAGCGTTAGAGCATAATTACTCGGTGTCCTACATATTACACTAGGTATGAGATATGTTTTTCCAAGAAGCTAAATGCTGTGTTTGTTTTCTGCAGATACCCCTATGAGCGAATTGATGGCAGAGTAAGGGGTAACCTTCGACAGGCAGCTATAGACAGGTTCTCCAGACCTGATTCAGATAGGTTTGTGTTTCTGCTGTGCACAAGAGCAGGAGGCCTAGGCATTAACCTCACTGCGGCTGATACCTGCATTATCTTTGATTCAGATTGGAATCCGCAGAATGATTTGCAGGTGAGACTGGGGTGATTAACTTGGAATGGCTCAGTTGTCTTGTTTTGGCATGCATATTTAACTTTTGTGTTTATTCAATTCCTCTTCACTGTTGTTCTTCTCTCCTATAGGCTCAAGCAAGATGTCACAGAATCGGTCAGAGTAAAGCTGTCAAAATCTATCGGTTGATAACCAGGAATTCCTATGAAAGGGAGATGTTTGACAAAGCTAGTTTAAAGCTAGGTCTGGATAAGGCTGTGCTGCAGTCTATGAGTGGTAGAGAGAATGCTGCTAATGGGGTAGGTACACCAAACTAGTGCACTAGTACTTGTGTCTAGAATTTACTCTTGTCATAAGAAGCTCATCTGTGGAATATTGTGCATTCACTAATGTGGATTTCCATTATGGAATGAATAGTTTACCCTGTTTTTATTGATCTGAATTCTGACATTAGTCATCCCAATAATGTTTTGCTACATTACATTTTCAATCCTTACTTCCAAGTAATTTTAAATCATTGGGTGTAAAAATGTTTAAGCATTTTCAATTTTGAGTGTAATGTTTCATAGTAACAGCCAATAACTCCCTTGTATATGATGAAATACTGCAAATGTAATAAAAGGTAAATATTCAGCAGGTTAAAAAGCGGCAAACCCTACCCAAATTTGTTGAGTGCTCTTAGGCATTCAACATTAGAAAACAGAGCTAACTACTTGAAGAAAGTCAGTTTTATAATAAGAACATTCTTAATCTATTGAATTCCTTGTCGAAAAGAACATAATTTCAATAAAACAGATCGAGGTAAAAATATTCAGAACTATACATGCCAAGATGAAATGCGATGAGGATCAGTTTGTTGAAAGATAACTGAGATTTTGAATACATGTAAATTAGCTGAAGGCCACACATTTTGAACATTTTGAAGATAATGGTTTAACCATTGAACTGTTCAGTGGAGTACTGAAAAACCGCCATGGTCCGTCGTAAGAACTGCTGGTACCGGCAGTGGAAGAAAGAGTTGTAATACAAGTTCATGTCACATTCAAGGTGCAGCAGCTTTCAAAGAAAGAAATTGAAGACCTGCTTCGCAAAGGAGCTTATGGGGCACTCATGGATGAGGAGGATGAAGGCTCCAAATTCTGTGAAGAGGATATTGATCAAATATTGCAGAGACGAACACAAACCATTACCATTGAATCTGAAGGAAAAGGATCCACTTTTGCAAAGGTACAGTTCTCTACAGAATAAAGCACGAGAGAGATCAGTATGTTGGCTGATGCCACACTGCAAGGTCCTAATTAGTCATGATGTACAGCAGATCTATCTATTATATGAGAAGGACACCTGGTAAATGTGCATTTAAGATGGTCATTATGCAGTTTTGTATCTGGTATCACTGTTAATTTCAACTCTTCCTTAAGGCAAGCTTTGTATCATCTGGGAACAGAACTGATATATCCCTGGAAGATCCTGACTTTTGGCAAAAATGGGCTAAGAAAGCAGAACTTGATATGGATGCAATAAATGGAAGGGTGAGTGATCTGTAACATTGCTTGTGAGAGGCATGGGTATGTTCCTAAAAACAGGCATATTCTGTGTATTGCTTTATCTTGCATTGATCTAATGACTTATTTTCAGCCAGTTTGCTTTAATTAAAACAAAAAAAATAAAACTGAAAAATGTGTTCAGTACATAAGGTAGCTCTGTTTTAAGTTGAATTTCTGTTTTGACATTATTTCTGATAGTAACATGTCTGACAGGTGTCCCTGAACCTGTCTGACGGTCATTTTGTTCTGATAACAATCTGTGTGGGTGCTTTGGTTATTTTCACTACGTGTTGCACAAGATATACTGGCTGTTTCAGTCCTAAATACCCATGTGCTTGTAAACTGTCTGAAACACAAGCTTCATGGACTTGAAACCCTTAGATCTTGAAGGTATTTCAGGGATCTGACTGCTTATAATTAGGGCATCTTAAAAATCAGGTATTGCATCTTAACAGGACTGAAAATGTAAGCATTATTCATAATGATGTCTTTCCCAACATTTGAGAACAAAGAACATTTAAGAAGTCAGCGAAAGTTTAACCTTTTTCTGGATATATTTATGCACATTACAACGTTTTACTGCTGTGATACCTTTGAGTCAATCTAAAGTGTTGCAGTATTTTTGAAAGTAATATCCAATTAAGAATTGGTTTCGTTACCACTGGGTAATGTACAGGAAAAAGCTCCTTTTAGCACTGTTCTTTTAAACAGTCGTGTTACATTTTTTGAAAGGTTTAATTCATTTTTTTTCCTTCAGAATAACCTTGTAATTGACACACCAAGAATTAGGAAGCAGACCCGTCACTACAGTTCTGTGAAAGAGGAAGAAATGATGGAGTTTTCTGAGCTGGAAAGTGACTCAGAGGAGAAGCCCAATGTGAAGCTCCGCCGACCTCAGGATAAATCCCAGGGTTACCCTCGCAGCGAGTGCTTCAGAGTGGAGAAGAACCTGCTGGTGTATGGGTGAGTTCAGGGCAGAGGCCAATAGGGTAGACTGAATGGAGAAAAAGATGGAGAGAGAAGCCATTGAAGACTTATCGATAGAGGGGTTATCTCACTCAGACACCAAGTCTGGTTCCTCCTTTTAAAATTGTGTGTGAATATTCCTAAAGAAAAAGGTGGGTCAAATGGCTTTTAGAATACAAAGATTACAGGTCTTCATAGTGAATGCTGGAAAATCTCTTGTTGAGAAGGGGCTGTTGTATGTTCTGTGCGATGTACATGATCACATTTTTCCATATGATTGGTTATTTTGTTTGTGCCCCCCCCACCCTGCAATGAGCAACAAAGGGTGTGGTGCTCTTGGGTGCAGACAGTTAATCAGACTATTGACACTTCTGCAGCTCAGTCTTCATGGTTCACTGGTCACACTGAATCTGACCAGCACTCTTCTAGTTAACAGCCTGGAGCCTCAGGCCATACAGGCAATTAAATCTGTCAAGTCTCACACCATATTCTGCCAGGCTTGTTTTGCAGGAGGAAAATTTTGTTAAAGTTCAAAATGTCTCCTTAATTATGAGCCAAGATCATTTGCAGCATCTATATTTATAATGCCGGGTCATTGACAGAGGTGCTTTTGTTCATAATTGATTTCTGTATTAAAGATGAGAGACAGAACACAATATTTTATTGCATTGCATGCAGTGTGCTCCATATATCCAGACAAACTCTCATCAGCTATTCAGTGTCCTAATTGGTCCGCGAATACAGTTCTTTATCAATGGTGTGAATACAGGTTAAAGCAACCTGCTAAATTCCTTTTCAGGAAGCTAGTATTGTTGGTCTGGCCTTTAGAGCAGTGTATCTTTTTAAACAGGCAGGGTTTCAAATGCCCAGTCCTAATGAACGCCTGTCTGTTCTGAATGAGATTTAGATGGGTAACAAATGGTTCAGCATTTTTCAGTCACTGTTACGTGCATGACAAATGTTCAAACACTTGTTACCATTCTAACGGTCTCGGTATTTCTATAAATACCCTCTTAAAAGAAGAAACTAAGGCTCGCTCCTCCCCTCCCTTCTAGCTGGGGACGATGGACCGATATCCTGTCTCATGGGCGGTTTAAGCGGCAGCTGAAGGAGCAGGACGTGGAGACCATCTGCCGCGCTGTGCTGGTTTACTGCCTCAATCACTACAAGGGAGATGAGAACATCAAGAGCTTCATTTGGGACCTGATCACCCCTACTGAAGATGGACAGACCCGAGCTTTGCAGAACCACTCGGGTAGGTAACACCTCCAGAAGCCTGAACGGGGTGCTTTTGTTTAGAAAGAGTCCTGAATGAAAGTTTGTGAAAATTGTTTTGGATTAAGGGATTTTAATAACTGCAGTGTACTCCTGCTTAAATATGTTTTATTTGGAGGGGCTGGTATTCATGAACATATATTTGATGTAAACGCTCTGCATACTGTGTTTCCTTCATAGGTTTGTCTTGCATTGTGAAAGAACTAGGCGAGTATTATGGTGTTTAACATGTCCATAGTAGCTTTCCTGAAGCATCTTATGTGAGCAGTTTAAACACAAGCTTGTCATGTATTCATGTATTGCACCGTGGGCCAAATCAAACACCTAAAAAACCAACATCCAGACAGCAGCTTGCTTTTGTGGCATCCCCCATTTATCAGGCTGAATAATCTTCGAATGATATGGGATGATCTACAGATGTTCTGCTTTAACAGAGGTAACTACAGGACTGGGTAACAAAGCAGCGGGAATTTGCCAATGTAGATAAGTCTGGTCAAGTATATGTACATAGATTAAGTTTTAATTAGGGACGTACTACATGCCCAGTCAAGTTGATTTTAAATAGAGATGGATTTTAACTTATTCCAATAAAATTCCATCGCTGGAAAAAATGATCTTTCTTTGAGGCAGTCTTTTATAAATTTCACCGCTGTTCCCACAGGGCTGTCTGCTCCAGTACCCAGGGGACGCAAAGGAAAGAAGGTTAAAACACAGGCTGCTCAGCCATTCATTCAGCAGGCAGACTGGCTGGCGAGCTGTAACCCTGACACCCTCTTCCAGGAAGACAGTTACAAGAAGCACCTGAAACACCACTGTAACAAGTAAGTCAGGCACCTTTTAGATTCTTTTAAAAGTAAAAGCTATACTGTGTGCTTTGGATGTACAAGGCAGACATTATGCCGTGATGCTTTTCTACCATATCTTCAAGCAAGAGTCTGTTAATAGAGTAGTGTTTAATAAGCCCAAATTAAGCTCAAGTTTCATTACACACAAGCAAGCTAAAATTGAAATGCTTGCAAGAATAGATCAATCCTGTAATTATACATGTCTGCAGGTTAGGATTAAAGATGAAGCCTGAAGCTTGTTTCCTGTGCTCTTAATTTGTATTTGTGAAATTGCTGGTTATGACAGCAGAAGATATCATGAATTTCCCCACAGAGTGCTGACTGTCCACCCTCATTCTCATTTGGACCTTACCATTGTGGTTTAACGTGCTGCTTAGTGCATTCCCTTTACCTGGCACCATGTCATGGATGTCTTGATTGCATGCTTCACAACACCTAGGATTCTTCATTTTAGATTTATAAGCTGTTTCATTTTAGAATGACAGCAAATGTCTGCTAAAGGTTTAGCTTTCATATAGATAAGGGCCATCCTGTATACTGTGCTTTTTCTGTTGCTTCAAGGGTGTAGCATGATATTCCAGCCAGTATTAGGTCTTGCAAGTCAGTCATCCCTTTTTAATTCTTAAGTCAGTCTTATTCTTGTAACATTCTATGAGTTTTATGAATTTATGGGACAACAGTTATATAATCCCTGTTATTCATTGTCAAACAATTCTCAAGGCTCTATAATTTCTAATTCACAAGTACCTGATTTTTGCTTCCATTGCATGGTATTGCTTTGTTGCAGAATAGCTCGTCAAGTATGATTTAAAAAAAAAAACAGCCAGGTATTGTTCTGTCATGGCAAGGCCATAAAAGCTGGGTTTGCATAGCTGTCTTTTTACAACTTCTGATGTGCTTCCAAAAATGGAATCGGGCAACAGCTGAGGAAATTTTACGAGATAATGAAGCAGAACACTTACTGCCAGCCATCTGCTCGCTTGTTTACAAACTTGCCTCAGTACTTTAGAGGTGCTGGCAGGACGTGTCCAAACTTCACAAACTGCATTAGGTGGAAATAAATGAAATGCGCCTGGGCTCCGCTCTGCTCGCTTCCTCTCTGTGCAACGCAAACCGGTTGCCAGGCAGACCTGTTGGAAGCCAGCGAAAAGCACCACACAGAGGTGATTATGTGCCACCATCTGTCATGCTTCAAGCCTACCATACAGCATGGCTAATCAGCCTTGGCAGGATGATGGATGAACTGCAACAGATGCCAAAAGCTACTGTTGGCAAACAGTCCCAAAGTTAAGAACTTTTCTCTCTCCCTCCCTAGAGTCCTGCTGCGGGTCCGCATGCTGTACTATCTCAGGCAAGAAGTTATCGGCGACCAAGCAGACAAGATTTTAGAGGGCACGGATTCAAGGTTGGTGTAAAAGCGGCTGTTCTTTCTGTGGTGCCACTGTCACCAAGATGCGCTATCATCTACAGGGGGCACAAACAGGCCACTTTTGGTGTAAATTAGACTGTGATTTGTATGTTGACGTACATTCACAAGCTGAACATGTAACTTTGTGACAGCGTTGTTTTAGGTTATTTGTGGGGCAAAGCCAGATCAGAACACGAAAAAACGTAAGACAAACGTACGTCTTTTCCTAAGCAGTAATACATGCTTTTTGTAATGTGTTGGAAATTGGTTAATGTTGCTCACAAGACATTTCACTATGACCAAAAGTACGTTTTAGAAATTCCTTGATTTAACCTTTTTATTTTTCTTGGGGTCACAGTGAAATTGATGTTTGGATTCCTCAACCATTCCATGCTGAAGTGCCTACTGACTGGTGGAATAGGGAAGCTGATAAATCTCTGCTCATTGGAGTCTTTAAACATGGTATGTAGTTTAAGTGAGGTTTATTTAAATATAAGATGTATGACCTGTTTCTACATTTTCTATTAATTATGTTTTCAGATCGAAGATTATTTTGCAGATCTTCAATCCCATAGAGAGGCTAGTATAAAATAAAGCAGTTTTCTGCGGATTGATCATTTAGCATAGTTTCTTATTAATGGTTGAGAAGCACTTGTAATCAGACCTTGCTCTGGTTTTCAGCCTTTTGTGCACTTGCTACCTTGTCTTGCCAGCCAGTGTCAGAGTGGCTGGTGGGTTTAACCTCTGCTATTAATCTGTACAAGTGCCTCATGGGCTTTCTTCCAAGCAGTATTTCACAAAATGTCAGCACAGAGACCTTCCCATTCCCCGGAGTGGGAAGCTGCCTTGTTAACTTTGAAGGGCTGCGATGTGTAGCAGCCATGATATATACAGCAAGCCGTTCCTAATCATAATCCCAATTCACTGGAGGTCATGGAGGAACCCTCAGCGGCATGGCCCTACTGCAGGAAAGAATGATAGCTTATAAACCCTTTCATGATTACAGTTTGGCTTCAGGCTCTACAGCGGTTAGAAACAATGTGTCACAGTATAAATCCTAATTGAAATGTGATGTTCTGGTAGGAGGGAGGGGAGGAGGGGAGGGGGGTTCACGGGGCCTGGCTGATCGTGGGCTCAGCTGAAGTGGGTCCAGTCTGACAATCATCTCCCCGCAGTGCGCTGTTGAGATCTGCCGTTTTAAATCTGTTCTACATGGGCAGTTCCAAAGCGAATTCCCATTTGGGTGTGGGTGTCTCTCTCTGGTGTAGGATTTTAGATTTTTTTTCGCCACCCTTTTGTGTGACAGTGCCTGTTACATTGAAATTCATGTTGAAGGTTTCTAATTCTATTGTAAACTTTGTTTTTTTTCTGAGGCATAGCAGGGGTCCTAATGTCGTTATCATGTTTGATAGCTCTATGCTGAATATGCTTTTTGTGAAGGTCATGCAAGTTTTTTTTTTTAAAGCTATGTTGGTGACCTTTCCAATCCTTTCTCTTCATAGGACTGTTTTGAGTCCTGTTTGTACATCTCCTGTTCTGTTGAAGTGAGCAGACAACATTTTGCTCTCGGCCATAAGTGTTTACCAAATTGCTCATAGCTGAAAACAACGTCTGTAATCAGACAGTGTCTGTAATTGTCTGGGTTAATACTTAATATTCCCTTGATTGTAAGGAGCCACATTGAATACGTGGAGGTGATTCAGACAGTCTGTTATGCTCCCCCTTCCACCCCTTGCATTTCTTTTACCTCATGATGAGATGGCTTTTCGATATTATGCTAACGCATACATTTTTTTCACAAGTACGTTTTTGATATCCCAGTTATTACATTCCCGATTTATTTTTGTTAAAAGTATGTGAAAGTAAGAAAAACCAGGCAGGTTTGCAGCAGGGAAACTCACCAGCCCAGCCAGCGTTGCGGTCTCGCAGGTTGCCGAGCTGTGAGCTGCCCAAAACCAATAGATATTGAAGACTGATGGGGGGAAATTTACCCTTTGTGTCCTTCAAAGCATCTTCTATACCAGTTTCCACAGCATTTAGCCTGCACACAAGTTGGAGTGTTTGAGACATAAGCTTCTTGGATGGTGCATTTTTCATTTGTGTTTTTCCCCCACTGCAAGGCTAATTTTCTCCCTCTTGTTCCACCTGTCAGGGTATGAGAAGTACAATTCCATGCGAGCTGACCCTAGTCTATATTTTTTGGAAAGAGTGGGGATGCCAGACGCCAAGGCTATTGCTGCAGAACAGAGAGGAGCTGACATGATGGCAGATGGTGCTGATGGGTAAGAAGGGCTACAATACACTTATTCCTCTAAGACCCTTTTTTTTGGTAACTGTGCAGTCTGTAATTTTGTGTCTTAAAATCCTTCTCCTAGGGGTGATTTTGACAGAGAAGATGAGGACCCAGAGTACAAGCCGGCCAGAATGCCTTTCAAGGATGAAATGGATGTGAGTCGGCAAACAATTTAGAGTCAGTGCACCTTTTGGTATCTGCAGTCCTGACAGTATTTTAATGTTCTTTTTTATGTTGAATAGGAGTTTGCAAATTCACCTTTGGATGATAAAGAGGAAGCCATGGATGTTGAAAATTCAGGTAATTTTTTTGACATGCCTGAACACACTTCCACACAAAAACCTCGGAATGTGCCATCTACATTACTCATGTATATTGTGACTTGCATTCTGTGTTTTCTGAGACAGATGGCTATGTGTGTTAACAGTTACTTATTGTTTAATCCTTGGACATGTTCTGTTGAAGTATTGTTTGAAGAAAAGAATGCACTGTTAGGAAAATCCAGGAGCTCTCATTTACTCTTACTCTCTGCATTTTTAACAAATGTAGCGCGCTATGATACTTGAAATCCAGTATCGCTGTATAATTTCTCAGATAAGGAGGCAGCATGTGGTCTTATAGAACATTACAAACTAAGGCAGATGAGTCTTCAACAGTGTTGACCCCTCGAACCTTCCATAACAGAAACAGACCTTGTAGGTAGGCGTGCATTGACTTGGAATATCATGGTAAACTCATTAGTCAGAGAAGCACATGAGTTTTTCTGGTGAGATGGAAATAACTGATACATCACAGATAAACATTCCTTTAAGAAATATCCTTCCTGATTCCTTAGGGAACGTTTAAAAGTGAACTGACCTTATTCAAGGAGAAAAGAAGTTGTTGAATCCGGATGAACGCTGAAGAGACGGGAATTTACCCTTTTAATGAAAGAGATCTTTTTTTATTTAATTAAAATAGGAAAATCGAGTGAAAATGCTGAGTATGGTAAACTGTACTGGCCCACTGCCTCCGCGCTGACGACCAGATTGCGGCGCCTGATCACAGCTTATCAGCGCAGCTACAAGCGGGAGCAGATGAGGCAGGAAGCTTTGAACAAGACGGACCGCAGGAGACGACGGCCAAGGGAGGAAGTGAGAGCCTTGGAGGCCGAGCGAGAAGCCATTATAACAGAGAGGCGTCAAAAGTAAGAAACCTGGTCCTTCGGCGGCACTTCATGATGTTTTTCAAAAACCTAACTTATCTTAGGTTGGGACTACAGAGAACAAATAAGTTGACAAAGGAGAGATTTTTCACATAGCTCGTTATACTGCAGAAAGTTAACAATCCAAGGGCCACATCATTCCTCATCTTAAAGGACCGTGGGAAATCTTCCCTTATAGATGTTCAGTAAACCTTGTTCTTAGGTTTTACTCTGGACTAGGTTTTCTTGATGGTAATTTCCATTACCTCTTTCACATCCCTGCTTAAGAAATAGGCCACATTTTTTTCTAAAGCTTATTTTAACGTCTCATTCATGGTACTTCGTAGTGGTGTTTTTTGGCATTGAAGTCAATTTGGTTAGAAGAAGGGAACTGCTATTTATGGTACCCGTGTTGCATTATTCCTTTTGCTGCACGTGGCTGAATCTGAAATACATAATTTCCCGTAAATTATAGCTAATGAGCTCTCTCAGGAGACTACTGATTTTTTTTCATTTTAAATACTTAGCATAGTTATGGTTACCTACAAATTCAAAATGGGCTGGATTGTTGAAGACCATCCAGTTTCTTTAAGCCTTCGTCATGCAAATGTTGCAGTTTCACCTCATTTTGTTCTTACCCCAGGTGGACGAGGAGAGAGGAAGCCGATTTCTACAGGGTGGTGTCGACCTTTGGCGTTATGTTCGATACAAAAAAACATCGTTTTGACTGGAACCAGTTTCGTGCCTTTGCCCGCCTGGACAAAAAGACAGATGAGAGTCTGGAGAAATACTTTTACTCGTTTGTGGCAATGTGCAGAAGGGTATGCCGCATGCCTGTGAAGTCAGACGAAGGCAAGTATTACGTGGTGGAGCTGCAACCTTGTTTCCTGTCTCTCTTCTGCACCCTCAGTATCCCTGTCTAATATCATGGAGGCATTTTCTGCTGTTGTGAATTGATCTGCTCTTGAGGGGGTAAATGATGAAAATGTGGAAACTGATTTACTTTATCATTAAATTAAAAATGATGATAGTCTTTGATTTGTTGAGAAAGTTGTAGATACGGATTTTGCAGATGAAAGACATTTTTTCCTTACAAATAATTTGAGACTTGTACACAAACCAGTGGTCTTAGCACTTGTGCTTCTTTTAAGTTTGTCCTTATGGGTTCAATTCAAGTTGAGTAAAAAATACTTCCTGGCCTTTCCCGTTTGAGAGCCATTGAAAATAGGCCATAGAAATGTAAAGAGTGCAGTCCGGTTCCGGTTCACCACCTGAAAATGGTTAACACTTAAAATAGCTGAAGAATATTTTTGCAGCTTTTGTGATGTGTTAACATTGCAGCATAGCAGCAATATTTTAGGGAATAAAACATGCTTACCAAACAGGACCTGTTTGCCATATTCAGAACAGTTAAACTATGGAGTGCATAAATGACACATTATAGTTCATGCTTTAAATGGACTAATTATCAGAAAGTGGACACTGACATGCCCAGAAAGACCTAAAATGAGAGCAGATAATGACAGGACGCCTTTCAGCTAACCGATCAGAGCATCTTGCAGTCTTATTGAAAGAAGCCAGAGTGTCTGCAGAAGCAACATGTCTGGTTAGCTTATTCCATTTGCCCACAACCTGAAATGAAGAGCATTAATCCAACATGGATTTGAACTTGCAACCTTCTAGTTGTCCGTTGTGTGCCAGTTACCAGTTCCTCTTCACTGTGTTGTATGAGATGTAAAAAGAATGAGGCCTGTTTGAAATGGGAATGAAGTGGATTTCCTGTCCTTGACCCACAGAGCCACACGATCCCACTATCCTCATCGAGCCTATCACAGAGGAGCGAGCCTCCAGGACTCTGTACCGCATAGAGCTCCTCCGGAAGATCCGGGAGCAGGTTCTGACTCACCCAGACCTGGACGAGCGGCTCAAGCTGTGCCAGGCCAGCCTGGATCTGCCGGAGTGGTGGGAGAGCGGCCGGCATGACAAGGACCTGCTGGTGGGCGCCTCCAAGCACGGCGTCAGCAGGACCGACTACCACATCCTGAACGACCCGGAGCTCTCGTTCCTGGAATCCCACCGGAGGTTTGCTCAGAACAAGAGCAGCGGCCAGCTGTGCAGCACCCCCTACCCCGGCCAGGGCACGCTGCTGGCGCTGTCGGCCGCGGCCCTCCCGGTCAAGAAGGAAGAGGAGCAGGAGCCACACCCTCCTCCGGCGGAGGGGGCCGAGGCGCTGGAAGAGGAGCCGAAGGCCGAGGTAGACCCTCTGAAAGCGAGCGAGGAAGAGGAGGCCAAGGAGGATGTCCGGACAAGCGCCGGGGAGGAGGTACCTGTTAAACCCGAGGAATCGGAGGGCGCCCCAACGGAGACCCAGTGTGACGCCAAAGAGCCCGCGGTGCAGGAAGACGCAGAAGCACTAGCTGAGCTGGAGCCCAAGTCGCTGTCGGAAAAGGGCTCTGAAGAAGATGACGAAGATAAGATGGATGATGACGACAAGTCGGAGGAATCTTCTCACGCGGAAGGTATTTCTAGGAGTTTGATTTAAGTCATTTGTTACAAAGAGGCAAACAAATACATTTTCATTAAATGTTCTGGTTTTATTTATCTTTTACAATAGCCGCTTTGGAACGTCTTGAAAAGCATTTGACAATTCTGTAGGTTAAGCAAGGGTAACAATTTTGGGATGAGTCACAGATGCGGTATAGTTTGGTCAAAGTGTAAAGATTGAAGCTTTTGCTAAAATATCTTATTCTTTTCCCTTTTTATTTAAAAAGGTATTTCAATATGTTCACTGTTAATGAGTTGTATCTTTTTTCTATAGATGCTTCTTTTTAAATTGGGTTTTCTACCAGTTCTGTCTGTTTGCTAGCCAGGACAAAAGTTAGTTGAGAGAACCATCTGTGCTTTATGTGCTTTGTAGTTTTAATCTCCTGTTAGGCTGGGACCAGAGGTAATTTCTTTTTCTGTCCTGTGCATAAAAACCATCTTTTACGTTTCCTCCTCTTCAACTTCAAGAATCCCATAATAGTTATGAACTAAGTTATAATGATAACTTGGCTTTCTTTGAGCTGATATTGGCTGCAAACAAGTAGTTCCTGTGTAAACTGTAATTTTAATTGATACACCCATTTTTATATCCTAGAGACTGTAAAAGCACCATCTCAAATCTGTAAAACCTAAGAATATTAAACAGGCTTGTTAAAGGGGCAGGTGCTCATCGGCATTCTCTTAGGCTTCCTTCAGCTTTTGTTAAAGATGTAGGGTTTTTTTATATGGCATCTAGGCTGCAAATTAATATTTTATTTACGTCAACAAAAGACCTCAGCAAGTTTTTTTCTCTGAAGTGGACCCTTGTGGTGTTATCTTTTTTTTTTTTGTTGTTGTTGCTTTTTAGGGAGATGGGCAGGGGAGGGGGGCTCTTTTGGACATTTCCAGATGGGGGAAGTTCGGAGAGGAACAAAGCCTCTCTCCCCCTCCCCCTTCCTGTTTAGATTTAAGAGTTGGGCTGCCGGGAGGGGGGGTGTGAGGAGATCAGGATGCCGCGTCCCATTGTTTCTGTTGAGCGGGCGTTCTTGTTTTCCACAGCTGGGGCGGCTTCTCGGGGTAAGAACTTCGACGAGGAGAGCAATGCCTCCATGAGCACAGCCCGCGATGAGACCCGCGATGGGTTCTACGCCGAGGACGGGGAGACCTCAATGGCTCACATTCTGCACGAAAGATCTTTCTCTTTTTCCTTCTGGCCCAAGGTTAGTTCAGCCGCACTCAGTAACTGGAAACTTGCCAGCTTTGTTAGTCTTTTCTTGATCCTAGCGGTTTGTGGAATATTAAGAGGGCATTTCTCTGGGGGTACTTGTGAAAGGCTGAAGTGGGTTTTCAGTCACAAGCTGTGCAGACTTTCCTGCATTGCTAACGAAGTTTAATCCTGTGCAGCATTACACAGTAGCTTTATTAATTTGCAGTTCCTTAACAACGTGTCCTTTGAAGAGGCCACGTGTGTGCAGGTACAGAGAAGGGTGCGATTTCAGAATACATATTGCATTGTAAGGCTTTTATTTTTTTAATTCCCTTAGGAACACTATCAACAGCTAGGGCCTCCTACTTGATAATCGGATTCTAATTGCTGGAAACAAAGTGCCTATAGTACACATCTCAAACGAGGTGCTCTGTGGAGCTAATATACTAGTTTATAAGTGGGTTCATTATTAGGGAGTGTTTACACTATGGAGAGGTGTTAATACGGAACAATTGATGAATGAAAATGTTTAGTCCGTACCTATGCTTAATGTGTTCAGAAGGAGACATTTTCAGCATGGTGCCCTATTAAAAGCCACGCTTTACCCATTTGAATAATCAAATTATGAATTGTTTAATAAGGGTCTCAAAACAAATATACCACCGGTAATGCCATTACTCTGCTGGACAAGAGAATGTGTTTAGCATTAAGTTTCAGTTTAGAATTGATGGTGTATTAAGCTTTTGTGCTGGACACCTTTAAAAATTACTAGTATAGTATCTTGGCTCTTGAACTGAAATTCACCAAAATATTTTTAGCTTTTACATTTTTAATGGGTGTTTATATTAAGTCGGTTCCTCCTTAAATGCTTAAGTTGTTGGCGAGGGTCTGGCAGCTGGAGTTTGATAATGCTGTCAAATGTTTTGGTTACTTCTGTAAATAGATGGCTTATGCTCTGCTTGCTTCTGTTCTTAATGTCAGACTACATTCATTTAAAGATTGCAGAACGGAAAATTAAATTTTTAGGTGTCCTTTAAATACAATTTATTGAATGTACAGGGACAGTGTGCTTGGGAGTAATAGAAATAAGGCCCTTTTTGAAAGTTTAACCTAGTTACAGCATGCTGCGGTGCCTGAATCGATAGGATGTTGGGTCTGATCATTAAACGCTGAGAAATGGAAAGAATCTCCTTGTTCTGTCCTTCAGCTCTTTGACGTGTTGAGAGCCTTGGGGGTAGGTCAGTTTAACCCCTGCTCTATCTTTTATGGAGGCAAGGTAAAATCTGCAAGGACAGATATCCAATGGTAGACTTTTTTTTTTAACAAAGGCAAAACAGAAGTGTCCTATGGGTGTCTAGTTAGCCTGGTGTCAGGGAAGAAACCTTGCCCTGCATTCTTTTTTACCAGATATCCCGCTCGTTAGTGCATTTCCTCTTCATTTTTTTTTTTACTTCTTTGCTGTGTAGGACAGAGTGATGATCAATCGCCTGGACAACATTTGTGAAGCGGTGTTGAAGGGGAAGTGGCCTGTGAACAGGCGTCAGCTGTTCGACTTCCCTGGCCTGCTGCCTGGATACACCCCCTCCACCCTGGACAGCCCCCTGCCGAGGAGGAGTTTTGCTGAGCTGTCTATGGTGGGCCAGGCCAATTATAGTGGCAGTGAGGACATCACCCTCTCCCCTCAGATCTCCAAGGCAAGCGACCGTCTCTGTGGCTGCTTCACATGCCCTTTGTGAGCATGTGTCATGGAATGCTCACATCTGAATGTCTTCTGTGTTTCTGCCTGTATTCATGTCGGTTTTAAAATGTCAGATGTTCAGCCTTCAGTGTCTGCCATTTATTTTATACATTGTAGGAAGGACAGAATGCACAATTATTTAATGTCTCATGAACAAAGCCATACTTCAGAGCAGTGTCTCTTGCAGTAATGCGCACATTTTTTTATGCAGCGCCCTGGTTTAGATTGCTGTTGAGCTTGGAGTGACCTTCTATTACTGCAAAGTCTGTTGCAGGAATGGAGCCCTGGTAAAATCTTGATCATACTTGACAGTTAATGATTGGGCCAGAAACTAAAATTGAAACTTTCACAGTAGGCACTTTAATAGTGTATTAAACGGGTAAAAAGTCAAGTTTTCAATTCCATGGCAATATTCAATCATTACGAAACTCACCTTCAGACTGGCAATACAAGGGGGAGAACAAAACAGAGATTTCTCCCTCCGTATGAAAATAGTACACTATTCCATTTTCTGTGGGTACCCTTGGACTTATCACCGGTTTTATCAATAAAAAGTGGTCCTCTGTTCTCACAGGAAGAGGTGCTGAGCATGACTGTTCCCCGTCAGCGGCGCCGCAGGAGGAGGAAGATTGAAATTGAGGCAGAGAGGGCTGCTAAACGGAAGAACCTCATGGAGATGGTGGCCCAGCTGAGGGAATCCCATGTGGGCTCTGACAGCCCCGACAAAGCTGTGGACTTATCGAAAGCCTTGCGAGAGGCAACCAGTTCTACCTCAAATATCTCTTCTGTTGCTTCCAAGTTTCTTTTGCCCAATGCCTCCACCCCAACAGCTGATGCCTTTAAAACTCAGATGGAGTTGCTGCAAGCTGGCCTTTCAGGAACACCCACCAGACAACTAATGAATGGCTCCTTTCTGGAAGGAGAGATTCCCATGAAGAGGAGGAGAGGCAGAAGGAAAAATGTGGAGGGGCTGGATTTGCTTTTCATGAGCAACAAGAGGGCATCGCTAAGTGCTGTGCGTTCTCTATCATTTTTTTATTCTATCCATCTGCGTCCCTAATGGCCTTGTCACACTGACACACCCGAGCTGAGCCCTCATGGTACAGCTCGGTTCACAATGGCCGTTTTGTTGAGCCGAGCTGGTGCCAAGCTGTGAGAGAGCCTCGCCGGCTATCTGGTACTGGCCTGCAGCCGAGCAGTGCTAGAAGCAGGGTTTAAGCTGTCCGTCTGAGGTCCATCTAAGAATACATGAAAAAGAGCTATCTGAAAGGGGATTTGTGGCAGGATATGGGGTTCATAGGAACTCGTGGAAATAAGTTTTTATGTTACATTTAAACTTCTGTGTAATAGTGCTTTTACTTACGAGACCCACCAAAGCATATTGAACAAGAAGTGTTGATTTCATGTGGCCTTATTGCCCTATTGATCCTTAGCACCCCCACACAGTTTTGGCTACAAGTACTGAACACAGTACTATTGAAATAGTGAACTTTCATTGTTCCACGAGAGATGTCGGGATTCAGCATTTATGAATCTTTGTTGAATTTTCGATGAATTGCCACAGTGATCCGAATGAGGCGGCTATCTAAAAAGTTGTAAATGTTTGCGTTTAGTAGTTTCAGAAAAAACTGCATCAAAAGGAAACTTTGAAAAGTACAGAACCTTAGCTGATATCTTTTGAGCTCTCATATATGCTCCGTCTTGTACTCTTGGTGGTACCTTTCTTCACAACTTCCTAAAACAAATGTTTTGTATAGCTTGCAATAAGCTAATATAAAGCAGTAAAATGTATGCATTAAAACTGCTAAGACCTAAACCACTGTTCATATTAGAAAAACATTTGTGGATTGTTCAGGAATGGTGAATATTTACAATATCGATAGATAAACTGTAATTTACAATTAACTTTTGTGAATACACTGCTTAATGTAAAGTTAGAGATACCAAATGCTTAATGTACTAAAATGCAAAAGTCACTGAGAAAAATACAATTACATATACTGCCACTTTCACACTTGTAATACAAAACCACTATTTATATACACCAACCTATGTTAAGCACTTTAAAGAAGTATTCTATATACTGTAATTCTAATATTGTATATTTCTGAAATCACTGATTAATATAGTGGCATAAGCCTATTAGTACAGGGGGTGGTCCTGGCCTTCCATTGACTGCTTTGCATTTTGAGCATGGCCATGTTAAGTGTTTTCTACATCAAATGCTTTAGGATGTCCTGACTTCGCTTTTCGTATTCAGAGAGCTCCTTTTCATTTGCATTCATCAGTGTGTGGAAGAAGAAAGGGAAAATAAAACAAAACAGGACCTCGAGATCCATTCTCAGTCGATGCGATATCACGCCGTGCGGGGGCCCGTCCCCGGCGCGGCCTGCGCCCGAGCAGGGGGAAAGTCCAGGTGTGCTGGGCGAGCTCGGTTCGGTGAAGGTGTGCCAGTGTCACAAGGCTCTAAAATTTCCATTTAAATGCTGACCAGCGTGCGAGTTTCAGCTGTTTTTTTCACGGGCCAGTGGGAAAGGTTTCCCTTTTCAATAGAGCACATGCAGATTGTGAACTGTAGCTGACACTGTAAGGAATGCGTCTATTTAAATGGGAAGGTGTTTACAAAAGCACCTTTTTAGCGCCTTTTATTTCAGTTTATTGTTTAAAAGACCTACCCCTGAATGTTTGCGGGTCTTTTTTTTTTTACAGCAGTAAGTTGTAAAACTTCTTTGGCTTACCGACTAAATCTTCTCAAGTTTGTCACTGAAATATGACACTGAAATAAGAAATAAGATTGTTTAAGTAGTAGTGTGGCATTGAAGACCTTCAGAAGGTACTTGTAAAGGGGAAAAAGGAGGTGGGGCTGTCTTAAATTAGGTTTAGGAAGGTTTTAGGAGAAAAGAGGATTGTAAAGAAAGGATGGGTCTGAATAGGATTAGCAAAATGGGGTGACCAGGGTGATCACTAATGGAGGATTAACTCGGCACAGGTATTAATGAAGACAGTGATGTCGAAGCAGAAAAGAACAGTTAATAGCAAACAGTTTTTTCGATTTGTATTTGTTTGGCGACTGAAGGGTCTCCCATTTGTCCCTAGGAGGATGCAGAAGTGACCAAAGCTTTTGAGGACAGAGTGCAGGTCCCACAACAACCACAGAGAAACATTCCATCCCCTGGCCAGCTGGACCCAAATGCTCGCATCCCTGTCATTAACCTGGAAGATGGGAGCAGGCTGGTGGGAGACGAAGCCCCTACAAATAAGGACTTAATTGAATGGCTTAAGCAGCACCCTGCTTACACTGTTGACATGCCAAGTTATGTACCAGTACGTATCCTTGATGCAGTTTGTCAATCTGTCAATAGATGCTATTTTCTCGCCTGTTGAATATTTCATGGTACCTAAGGGGAAAGGGGAGGAATTGCCTGTGAAGGAAGATTTCAGTATTTCAGTATTCCTGTCATGAACACTGAAGTCTTCAGACTCCTCGAAATCCATCAGCACTGTAAAAAAAAACAACTAACCTAACATCATTTAACCTCAATCTTTATAACATTTCATTAGTTAAACGTTGTGTAAATGTTTTCACTAAAAGTTTTTTTTCTTCTCAGAAGAATGAGGACTTGCTTCTGTCGCCGTTCCAGAAACCGAAACAGAAGAGGCACCGGTGTCGCAACCCCAATAAAATTGACATCAACACCTTGACGGGAGAGGAGAGGGTGCCTGTAGTAAACAGAAGAAATGGAAAAAAGGTAATGGTGGGTTACTCTAAATTGGCCATGCTTATTTTGAGGTACACAGTCTGAAAAGACTTAACTCGAAATTAATTTTATTATTTCAGTAAAAAAAAACATTTTGTAGTAGTGAGTGCTTTAATGTGTACTTGTGACCCGCTGTAATTTAAAAGTATTTGGTTTCTACTAGTGAATGAAAATCATGCTGGTACGGTGCACATATACATTGAATTGTTTGTCTGTTTTGTAGATGGGAGGAGCTATGGCCCCACCCATGAAGGATTTACCAAGGTGGCTCGAAGAAAATCCAGAATTTGCAATTGCTCCTGACTGGACCGAAATAGTAAAGCAATCGGTGGGTAATCTGTCGCAACCTCGTCATGTAGAGGTTTTTTTCCCCCTTCTTTTCAGTGTTAGATTGTGAGCTGCTGTCTAAATGGTACAACATGTCGACTAAAGTGTGCTGTGCCAGCTCCCCACAGTTCACAATCTGGCCATAGATAACATTTTGGCCAATGGCTTCTTTGTCTTCTCAGGGCTTCCTTCCAGAGTCCATGTATGATCGCCTTCTTACCGGACCAGTGGTGCGAGAGGAAGGGCCGGGCCGCAGAGGGAGGAGACCAAAGAGCGAGATCGCCAAGGCTGCGGCCCAGGCCGCTGCAGCTGCGGCCTCCTCTTCAGGCATCAACCCTTTACTAATGAACAGCCTGTTCGCTGGCATGGACCTCACCAGCCTGCAGAACCTTCAGAACCTGCAGAGCCTGCAGCTGGCGGGACTTATGGGTTTTCCTCCAGGTTTGGCTACCGGAGCCGGAGGTGACGCCAAGCACACGTCTGCCATGCTGCCCCTGATGCTGCCTGGCATGGCGGGGCTGCCCAACATGTTCGGCCTGGGGGGCCTCTTCAATAATAACCTGGCGGCCGCCGCGGCCGCGGCTTCTGGCAGCCCCTCCGCCGCGGGGCAGGGCGAGCCTGAGGAAGGGGCGGCGCCCAAACCGGAAGAGAACAACGACGAAGAGGGCGACGAGAAGGAGTCGGAGAAGGCCGAGGCCTCCGGCGAAGGAGAGGGGTCGGCGAGCGCGGCCAGTGCCGCGGCGGCGGCGGCGGCCGCTGCTGGCATGTCCGCAGGCCCCCTGGCTTTCAACCCCTTCCTGCTGTCCACCATGGCGCCAGGCCTCTTCTACCCCTCCATGTTCCTGCCCCCCAGCCTGGGGGGGCTCACCTTGCCGGGGTTCTCCCAGGCCACTCTGGCGGGACTGCAGAACGCCATGGCGGGCGCCAGCGGCGGGGCGGCGGGGGAGGAGAAGGAAGCCGGCAAGGAGCCCGCGCCGGACGCCAAGGCAGAGGACGGCGACAATACCATGGAGGACAGCGATACGGATGAGAGCCAGAACAAGACAGCCGACTCCTCGGTCCTGGAGGATGAGGTGGGGCCCGCAGAGGAGCTGGATTCCCTCGACGGCGGGGAGGACGGAGAGGAGAATGAGAACGATGATTAGAAACGTCTCCACGCCCCCACCCTGCCTTTCGGTTTCAAGAAGTGTTTTAAACTTTTTGACAATTGGTTAGTCCTACTGTTTACATGCCAATTAAATATCCAAACATTTAGATTTTGGCTTTTTTTTCCCTCCATTTTCAAAGGCAAGACAAAATGGGGGGGGAAAGCTCTCTGTAACATAGTGTAGCAAAAACAAAAAACAAACAAAAAGAGTCATGTTACACAGATGTTATAAAGGTGTTTCTTGGTCCTTAAGTATTGTGCAGTGCATTATTTATTATCCTAGGAGAGTTAAGAAATTTCTGAACTTTATCTGAAATCTTTTAGGACTGACTTGTTTAAATAATGCTCTGCTGCTTTTTTTTTTTGTTTTCTTTCCCTACCATTGGTATTATGTTGATGAGCAGCAATTTTTTTAAATCCAGTGGCATAAAGGTTAACGGCATTAGTATCTGCTGCTGAAAAGGATTAAATGAAGATGTATATTTAACTTTTTATTTTGTACTGTTTGTTTTGCTGTGAAGATCAGGATGAATTTCATACATATCATGCCTACAGACTGTGTTCTGAGTTTCACACACTGACAATCTGAACAGAGGTGTGAACGTCTCAGCCTGAAGAGACAGCAATAACTAAGGCAGCTGTTGAATGTTAGATTATTCTCAGAATAACACACCAGGAGGGTGACCACAAGATAAAAAAAACTACAGTCAATTTGTCTCGTGATATTCTTGTTAATGCACTGGTATAAACTAAGAAAAATCAGGTACATTTCTCTAATGAAAGGACTTTTGTTACTTTAGCCACAAAGCTGAACAGCATTACCTCAATTCTAACTAGCCTTGAAGTTTACAGACATGACTTTGTAAATGTTTGTTTTTGTTTTGTTTTGTTTTTTTTCTTCTTTTTGTGATGTCTTTTTTTATTTTTGGAAACTATCATGTATGATAAGATGTAAATTGCTGCCAACTGTAGTAATGATGCTTTTAATAAAAGTGACTCACGATATTCGTCTAGGAAACCAAATCAGAATGTTTGTGGTCTTTCATGTAGGTTTCTTAGAAACATGCTCGACAGTCTCATCTTGCTGAGAGAGTTTGTAAATGGCTAATACGACTTTGAACTGGTCCACAGTGGATTTTTACTGACTTGAGATTTTTTGGATTTATTTTCTATATTAGTGTTCAGTTGCTTGTAAGATTTGTATAGCTGCTTTCAGTAAAAGAGGAAAACTGCAGCAAATGCTTTTGATACTTTGGTGATGAAACATTGTACTGTTTCAAGCAGCATGTCACAAACGGTTTTACTGGAATTCCTCCTGCCAGTTGTATTTTGTCTACATAGCTTCTTGAACCTGAAGATCTAAAACAGAATTGTTTTTGGCTTATTTCAACTCTGAAATTAATTTTAACTTTGGATTCTTGAAAACACCAGTCCTTTTCCGTGAATAAAACTTTTGTATTTACCTTATCTTGCAGCGAACAGGGTTCCTTGCATTCCTTTTGGGGGGCATTTTTTAAACGTTTGTTTTTGATTCAGAATGCAAATAAAGTTGACAAATTCTACCGGAGTTTTTAGAAATTGCTTGAATTTGCTAGTGTAAAGCTGTGAGTGACCTACCTGCCAACTGTAAAGTGTAGACCCACTGATACACGAGTGGAGGGTTCGTGTTGGTGGGTTTTTGCCTTGACCCTGTGAACGCCAGTTGTCCTGTCCCCTCTTATGAGGTTTAAATGTTTCTGAAAGTGTACTGTTTATTTCAGCTGTACAGTCTGAAATAATAAATAAGCTGCATCACTTGGTGACATATGCATGTACCGGATATAGGTGCCACAACTGGTATCCAGCAAAGGATAAGCAGTGCTTTGCTATAGTAAACTTGAAGATGCCTACTGCTATCTAGAAATTTGTTTCCTATCCACACGCATTTAGTCATTCTCTATGGCCCTATTTGTATGGCACATTTATTGGCTTTATAGTGTGCTATTTTTGTGGTAGTTGGAAAAGGATACTTGATCAAATGAGATCTGTCTCCCGGCATGTTATTAGAGTTGGGCAACCTAGGTTGCCTCACGTTTGAGAAGTGAATGTCGGGAATGGGAGTTGCACTCTCAAGTGCAGTACAGCGGGTTTTTGAGCCCCTTTTAATGGGCAACACCTTAAGAGAAACAAAGAAACTGTTAAACTGCTCCAGTTGTACAATTTTAAAATTGTTAGACTGAGTTCACTTGGAATGAAACAGTGCAGAAGGAGGTCCTTCAGGACAGCAGCTGGATACCCACGCTCCAAAATGCTCCTCCAAAACCTCATCATTGTTGCTGTCCTGCTTATTGACATCTCGTATACCTTCAGCTCGTATGTTTTTGGTACACAAATCATGTTCTAAATTAAAAAGATTTATCAGTTAACATTTTTTAAAATTAATCCAAAGACATCTGAATACTCATTTCTCAATGACAAGTTTCCATAATTTAACAATTACTTTATTAATTGGGTAGCTTTTATAATAGAGGTTGCAAAAGCCATTTACAAATGGTTTTAAAATAAGATTTAATAGACAAATGTGATAACTGTTTCCTGTAGTCTGTGTATTAGAATCTTAACCACTGGGTCCTAAACTATCCTAAACTCCTAGGGTTTAGGATAGCTTTATTACATTGATAACATTAATTTGTTTAGTGTATCATAACGGTGTCTTAAACTAAAGTGACTGTAAGTGATCAATAATTATATGTTCCCAGTCCTTAGAAAAATTAAAGGTGATCCATAGAACTTAATGCCTGGGAGCTCTCCACTAATCTGACATTTTCATTGGCATTCGTCTGTAGTTGAAGGAATACAGATCTGATAGTGTTTCCCATTGTTTTCACACCGAGGAGACTGGGCCAAACCCCAGAGCAGACACTTCCCTCACTCGCAAGTGCGTTTTTTAGAAATGGGTTGTGAAGCCAATTCTATGAATCGATGGGAAAAATAATCCTTTACAACTGATGAGCCTTACGAAAGGCTTTTCTTGTCCACTCACACCTATTATTCTGTAAAAAAAAGGCATTTGTTTTTGCTAGAGCATCCACGTTTTTTGGCTGTGCTCCCCTGTGCGTTTGCTCTTGTGGTGTTTGATTTACATGAAAAGCATTTCAGGTCTTTTGCATTTTTAACCGCCTGCTGCGCTGGCTATTGTCTTACAAATTAGCAGCTGTACAGCTTAAATGGCCTGGAAGTTTCCCCAGAGCAGGCTGGCCGGTCTGATGGCAGTGATGACCAATGCTACGTTTCCATCTGTAGAGAGAATCCAAAATGAAAACCTCATTTCATTCTGTTCCAAATTCATATCAGACTGCCACTGAGTCCCATCTGCAGTCTGCACTTCAGCTTGCACTTGGATCTTTAAAATGATTGGGTGTTCGTTTTCTTTCATTTTGCCATTTTGATGAACACGTGTGAACATGTATAATGGGTACAAAACAGTGTTCCAAGAAATTCTGGTTTCTGTGGGGTGCTCTTGGCTTTCCTCTGTCCAGTATAGCGTGACACCTGCTCTTTGTCCCATGCATGTGAACACTCTGTAAGCTCCTTTCCTTTCTAGTGAGGTTTTGCATTGACTTACCCTTGCCATTTAAAACAAAAGCAGAAGCTGTACTTGGTTTGCAAATGTGAGCATGTCGCTGATGCACTGGGTATGGCTGAATCGATAAAACCACCTGTACCGGGTGCTAGGTGCCTGTCTGTTTAAGATAAGCCCAGGCTGGAGTCTGAAGCCCACTTCTTTTGATCCTCTGCTGTGCAAGTATCTCCAGCTGCCAGTCCATAAAAAAAAAAACTTAGAGGTCACTGTAGAATCAGTGAGCATAATCCAGGATTTGTTCCGTGGATTGAGAAGCAAGCACTGCCGTTGCTTTTTTTTAAACTGGGCAAAGTCAATCCTTTGGACACAAGGACACAAGAGGAAACCATGGAGAAATGCGTTTCAGAGCAGAGCCCCAGAGGGTTTTTTCCACAATACTTTCAGGGACTAGCTTGAGGATATGTGACAAGAAATGTTACTATGGAGAAAAAAACAATTGCAGTGTCTGATTTACCCTTTTTCCAAAGGGACTAAAACTGGTGAAGTTGTCCTGTTGCATTTTAGTGCGTAGGGCCTTTGTGTGCAAGTAAAAAGAACCTGATGACCATTTCCGAAATGCTGGCAGTGATGATGGTGGTAGATATCAGTTGTAGACAGCGTTGATTTCATTAGCTGTGGGGAACAAAAACTCACTCTACATTTTTTTAGTTCATAAATCCTTTAAAACCTCTGCCTTAACATGGTTCTTAAAGCTGTGATTTATGGCTTGTGCAATATATCTCTTAACCTGGATGGATCCCAACAGATCGACTTCATCTGTTAAAACTGCCACAAAGTCCAGTTCCTGCAGTGGATTAACATGTGGGTGGAGCTATGACTCCTGAGAGAATAACCATGACTGAGGAACTAAAGAGTCCCACCTTCATGGAGGTCTGCATTTCAGTGCATCAGAGCAACTATGCAAGAAGACAGGAGCTGCTACTAGGCAAGAAGAGGTAAATGCACTAGTCTATCCCAAACACACCATCTAAAATTGCAACCTACCAGGCTGACTCCATCACAGGACCTGGAAACAGTTGATTCCTGGAAACTGCAGACACCTCTGTAAGTGTCTCAACATTGTCAACCAAAGCAGGCAGTTACCAAAATAAAACTAATAAGCACTTTCTCGAAGACCACTGGTGTGGAAGTAGTTTTCTAGAGGAATGGTGAATGGGAGTTTAGAAAAGATAGGGTTTTTAACATTGAGATTCTTTGGACAAGCAATGTCGGTAGCAGCCACGAACAGTATTTGATGTGTTATGTTTCAGCTTTCAGAAAGTTCAATGTACAAGCTTAATTGTAAAAATTGCAGGGAGGATGCATTCAAGAAATACATATGATCTGAGAAATGGTCAACGGATAGAAAACGGATAAGGGTGTTCTAATAGGGGTGGGGTAAATAAAGGAACCTGTGTTAGGACAACATCTCCATAATGGGATGATTTCGATTTTGGTATAATTAGTAAACTTGTCAGGTTTGTAGATGCAGTAATTTAAAGGCCAGCAAACTGCAAAAGAAATTCAAAAAGACTCAGCGCTGGGCAAACGACTGATTTAATGTAGCCAAGTGTCAGGTGTTGCTTTCAGGTAGTAAAAGTTAAATGTAAAATGGGAAACTCCAGCAAATGTAAATGATGCTTTAACACTGACAGTAAGTCTTTCAAGCTTAAAAGATTTAGGTGTTAATGCATAATTTATATTTTGCTAGACAGTGTAGTAAAGCAATACTAAATGCATACTGAACCAGTCTTGGGATATGTAGTTAAAATTGTAAAATTTAAAATGATATGCATGATGACAGTGTAGGTCACCACGACATATAAAAGTGACATCCAACACTGACAAGCTGAAAGAATGGAATCTTTTTAGTCTTGAAAAGAGAAGACTACACAGAGACCTGATTCAAGTATGCACATCTTCAAAGGCACTGACAAAGTCAACACAATGAACTTCTTCAGAATCAGCAGGGTGAAAAGCAATTCAGGGGACACAAATGCAAACGAAGGGGAAGTGCTTTTGAAGCCGGGAAGAGGAAGAACTCTTTTTACACCTAAGGTTGTGAGGGTTCGGAGCAAGCTAGCAGGCCATCTTGTCAATTCTGAAACCCTGGCTTCAGCTGGGTGAAGTCCTGGGGTCACTAATCCAGCAGCAAGCAAGCTACATAGGATGAACAGCCTTCTTTTGTTTCTAGTCTTTTCTCTAACATGTCCTCATCTACTTCTGTGCCAGCCGCCATGTCACCCTGCAACTCACAACTGGCAGCCCACTGAAGCTCAGCAGGTGTGAGCCTGGTCAGTTCGTTCCTGGATGGGAGACCTCCTGGGAAAAACGAAGGTTGCTGCTGGAAGAGGTGTTAGTGGGGACAGCAGGGGTGCTCACCCTGCAGTCTGTGTGTCCTATTGCCCAAGTAAAGTGACGGGGACACTATACTGTAAAAAGGCACCATCCTTCAGATGAAATGTTAAACTGAGGTCCTGACTCTCTGCGGTCGTTAAAAATCCCAGGGCATTTCTTGAAAAGAGTAGGGGTGTTTCCCCGGCGTCCTGGACAAATTTCCCTCTGGCCTTTACCAATCATGCCCTTCTAAAAATCCCCGTCTCCGAACTGGCTCCATCACTCTCTTCTCCTCTCCACTGATAGCTGGTAATGTGGTGCCGTCACATCATCCAGGTGGGGGTTACAGTTTGGTGGTGGTGGAGGGGAGTCCCAGTTACCTGTAAAGTGCTTTAAGTAGAGTGTCTAGAAAAGTACTATATAAAGTGTTAGGAATTATTATTATTACAAAAATCTCGCTGTCCATTCAGCTCTTGAAGGGTCATAGAATGATCCTGATATGTGAGTAGTCCCAGCTGCTGTGTTGGCAACCCTCCTCATTGTCATTTATTTATTCCTTCTAATAACAAAGTGTCCTCGAGGAACGTGTGCCCTTATTTTCCTAAACTTAGTGTTATTCACACTGGCGA